TAGATGTCCTAAATAACTAAAGGGGTCACGGTTCATATTCCTAGCACAAGGTTTTGTGGATTTTTAAAATGCAAGTTTTACCTTAATAGCCTAGTTTTATGGTCTGATGGCTATAGATGAGATGTGTCTGAGAGGCAGTTATCATAAGGAAAATTGAAGTTACAGAAGTGACTTTTTTATGGTCTCACATACCTTATTTTCTCCAGGTTGAGCAAATTAATTGTACTTTTTCATATAATGACTAGTTCTGTCAAGTAGTTTTTAAACAGCATCTTTCTTAGCGTGTGTTAAAAAAGTGAATCTTCAATGTCTGTGCAAGTGAAGAAGTCGGCCTTATGCCAACAAAATAACTCACAAGTAGAATTGATCCTTTCCTTGTTCAAAAATTGCTGTTCTAACATGAAAGTGTCATTTTGTACATCCTGAGTTACTCCAAGTCTTTAAATGCTGTTTTACTCCTGTACTCTGCCATTCCAGTTCCTGTCTGCCTCTAGGATATGCTAATGTGTGGCTTGATTCTGCTATACACCCGACACAGTTTGGGTGTGCCACTGAAATTTTTCCTCTTCACTGGAATCCTTCCAGTGTCCCTGGTCCAAATCTGTATGGACCCGTGAAACCCCATATGTGACTTGCAGAGGCTCATGGAGCTGGTTGTTGCACATGTGCTGCCATGGCATGCAAAATGGTGCCTGAGGATGCGCGTGCATGAAGATGGGAGCAGCTGACTAGCTATGATGAACTCTGTGGCTGGTCATTCGCCATTGAAAAGTGGTCTGGGTATGTAGGATAGCAATAGCATATGGAAATGGTGGCTATCCAGCTTTGCTTATGGCTGCTTCTCCAGATATGGCACTGGAGTGTACTTTGCTCACATAGTGAAGGAAATACAGAGAATTACGTGGCCACTACTGTGTAATAAATTACTGTATAATAAATTTTGGTCTTCTCAAGAGCTATTCTGTTTTACTGTCACACAGAATCACAGAATCCCAAGAGTTGGAAGGGACCTCAAAAGATCATCTAGTCCAACCCCCCTGCAAGAGCAGGGTAACCTAGAGTACATCACACAGGAACTTGTCCAGGCAGGCCTTGAGTATCCCCAATATAGGAGACTCCTGTCATTTTATCCTCTCTTAAAATCCTGGCGTGCTAGTGGAAATGACTACCAAAAGCCTAGAAAATATGGAGAAAGGCACGGGTGAAAGCTTTAGGAGACTAGAGCTAGCTCTCAGCATCTTAGAATTGTTCTCTCCTGATTAAGTTTTATGCTGCGTATCAGATACATATCAGTTTTGTCTGCAATCTGTTTTTTTTTTTTGTACATTGTGAGAAAGGATGTGATTGAGAATTTGCTTTCACAATGATGCTGCAAATAGATTCAACTTCCCACAGCATTTCCCTAGCATTAGCAGAAAGGCCGTTACTTGCCTTAGAATCTCATTTCAGTGATGAAGACCTATTCCTCCATCAAACAGATTTCTCTTACATTAATTTTTTTGTTCCATAGAAATTTTGCCACATAACAGCCTCTTGCAGGATTTTCAGCAAATATTTCTAGAGCTTTACTGGCCATTAGTCTCTTGTCTTCATACCATTGTTATCCTCCAGTTGGTATGAACCTAACTAGATGTCTCTTAAGATAATTAGAATAGCCCAGAGTCTGCTCTAACTTGAGCTGTTACTCAAATGTAAGCCCAGCTACAGGAAGCTAAGAATGACATAAACTCTCTTACTTCCCCACCTCCTTCACTAGAGGCACTGCTTGCTATTCTGGGATGTAAAAGCAGCTGGGTTGCTCAATTAGCCATATTTTCTTCTAGTCATGAGCTGAGAATTTCCATTGAAGTTACTGTGAGTTTTGCACAAAAATCAAGGGCAGTACATTGGCCAGAACGTGTGCTAAATAAATATTTATACACAAATCAGAATGCTACTGATGGCTTCTTTACACTGTAAAATTCTAAATATTTTAAGAAGCATCTGTTACTAAACCGAGGCATCATATTTGCTGAGTGGAAGTACACATACTGAGTACCCATATTTAATGAGATGAATACAGTGATATAGTTTTGCACTGGAAGAATGCATATAAAGAAAATAGTAAAAGCAATGTGATGTGACTGAATTAAAGCTATAATGAACAGGCTGAATGTTTATGTGAATGCTAACTGCTATGAAGTTAGCTTTCCCACCAGGGTTTACATAGGTCCAAGATAATACCCATACTGACTCTGCATCTCAGTGCAGAGTTTACTTATGTCTGAGAAGCTGAAAGATAAAAGACTTGAAGGATAAATATATGTGTGTGAAAGAGAAACAGTAAAAAGTGAAATTCTGTATTAGAAATATGTAGCTGCTGAATCTAGTTTGTGGTCATGTCTCACTGAAGACCCTGAAACAATAATAAACCTTAAGATCAATTAATATTAGAAATACTTATAGATTAATTGTTTGGAGTTTTCATTGCTAGAAATTAATAATTTCTGTGACTCTAGGTAGAACCTAATCTAAAAGGTAGACAGGACAGAACATAGAAACAACACTACCTGATTATCAGTAGGTGCTTCCTGACCTACTGTGTTCCAGAGTGTCATTGAGATAAAGCCATGTCCAGCTTAGTGGTGATCTTGGCTTGTACAGTTTACAAAGAAGAGTTTTTCCTAGCTACAGGAACATAGAAGGGCAAGCATTCAAACCAAAAAGAGCTAATTAAGCAAGAAAGCAGCATTGAATATAAATTGACCAGGACTGTATGTAGCCTAGAAATGAATAACACTCTTGAAAACTGCATCTACTGAAATGTGTGACTTATTAAATAATACATGTCTTCATGAATGAATTAACAGATTTTTGAAGAGAGGGAATATTTGATTTTCTTGATGTGTTAAGTCAACGAGTATAGAAAGATGGGGAACTTCATTGAAGGCTGTGGGGACAATGGGATGCAAGACTTTTATTTTTCCCCCAACTACAAAGCAGTTTGGGGTGGAAAGTGACAGATGTGCCTCCACTCCGGGGGAAACTGAGCATCGCATTCAAGAGACCAGTCTTAATAGACAGTTGCAAGCTGAGGTATTGCAAGCTGGGGTGAGAGTTGCTCATAGGGATGTAAGTACAACTCTGGGTGTCATTATGCCCAGTCTTACCACAACTCCTCTTTAAAGTTTCAGCTGCTCTTGAGGCTTGAAAGCGATGTATTTTGCCAAAGCAGTAATTTATACTTCAGCTATTCATTTGTAGTCCTACTGTTCCAGCACTCTGTAACTAAACAATACTCCATACAGAGAAGTATTTAATGCATTATTTATAGAGAGGAGATCTTTACCACTTTATTTGACATTGCCACTGAGGGATGTAATCATATTGCCTAACATTAGGCATCTAATACTAGTTTCTGGTATCAGAAGCTACTTCAGAGAATTAGTTCTGATTTGCCCTCTGGAATGACCTCTGCTGTTCTGAACTCTGATACCAAGCCACCACAGCCTCTCCTAATTGTCTCATGGTCCATCTTAAACATAAGTCAAACTTTGGGCTCCCATTTGAAAGCCAATTTTAGAAGATTTCCTATTTTCAGCCTCTTGTAATGAATGAACTTTTATTTCTTTGTCCTTTTTTATCACTGATTTGCAGCTTAAATAGTTCAGTAAGATGGAGCAACATGCTAATAAAGCTCAGCCACCCAGCTCAGAGCTTAGGTAAATTTTACTTGTATTTTCTACACCTGTCCATGAATGCAGGCTATGGAGAAAGGTCAGACATCAAAAGGAGTAGTTGTATTTGAATAATTTCAGTAAGCCCAAGTCAGCCACAGACTCTAGGTTGATTAAGTTCAATCGAAGCCTCTCAATGATCTGATTTTTACCAAAATTTAAATGTCACGTGGGGTACCATTGGTTTAAGTATATTTTCAGTGCTTTACATTCACGTATTTTTCATCAAATACAGATCTCACTTAAGGTTTCAATCATTAAAGAAAATGATGCTCAGTCCTTGTTATTTATTTAACCTGTTACTGGTGCTTTTGTTAACTTTTTGATTTTACTAGTTTTCATACAGAAAACATAAATCTTCTGGACCTTTTAAAGCAATGGCACACAGCAGGCGTATTTATTTGAATGCAGCTGCTGTCTGATCCTGTTCAAGGTACTGTCATTATGTTTCCCATTCCCATTGTACATTCTAATTCAACTTCAAAAAGAATATTTAGCTTAACCTCCGCTTGAAGAGATGAAATGGAGATCACCTTGATATCAAAACAAAGGAGGTCATACTCAAACCAGCTTCAGTGGCACCTGCCTGGAGCCTGAAGTAGGTTGAGTGGCAGGTGCTGGATGACTGCAGAAACAAAGCCCAGAACTTCTCTAGGGAGGCTCTTCATTTCCTCCTTAATTAATCTGTTTACTAAATAGAGTTAATCGCAAACTAATCTAAATCGTTACCAAGACCCTGACTTGTGTGAACGTGCTATTTCCCCTCCCCACTGTGCCTGTCCCCTATGGGTTTCCTGGATTTCAGGGCTGTGAATCGCACAGCTAACACAGCCACACTCCACTCTCGGTGGTGGATGTTTGATGTTTTTGGACAGAAACCTTTGCCCTAAATGACAAATACAATAGAAGGAGTCATCCTAAGTGGATTCACAGAGCGTTTTGGAGGCTGGGTGAGAAGCAACCTGCTGCGCTGCGTCATTTTTTCAGACTTCAGAGACTCCTTAACTGCTCACCGGGGTGTCCCCTGCAAAGGCCGGGTGCGCTGCTGGGAGCTCGCTGGGCCTGGCAGGAAGCGCGCTACTGCGGCCGACCCCGGGACAGGCTGGAGAGGCCCGGCACCACCCTTCCGCTCCGCACCCGCCGGCGGCAGTAGCAAGGAGGGCGCGGCAGGTGGCGCCAGAGCCGCCCCTCCTCGCGGCCGCTCTAGCGCGCCGGTCCCCGGAAGTGCTCCCCTTTCTGCTGCTCCTCGCCCGGAGGTCGGTGCGGCTCGGCCATCGCTGCGGGTGGCAGAGCCCAGGCTGAAAGCGGCGGGGCGCATCCCGGCGGCACCATGGCGGCGGCAGCGTCCTCCTCCTCCTCCTCCTCTTCCTCTTCGGCCCAGCCGAAAAAGATCGTGGCTCCCACCGTGTCGCAGATCAACGCGGAGTACGTGACCCAGGTAGGATTCGTGGGGATCTGTGGGCCGCGGCTCCCGCTGCTGGAGCCGGGTGCTGGCTAAGGCGGCTCCGGTAGTGGCGGTGCCCGGGGTTCAGTAGTGCTTGCGGCATGTCGGTGGTAGGGGAAAAGCCTTTTGGCGTAACGAAAGAGAGGTTTAGCGCCTGCGTTACGTAGGAAGAGGTGTGTGCCCCCAGCGTTTGTTGACTAGAGAAATTTACCAGAGCAGTACTGTCCAGTATATCAGATTCGTTGTTACACGGGAAAGGTTACTGATAGTTCTTTGTAGCTGAATAGTTTAAGTGGTTTCCTGCAAGTGTTCAATTTTATTTTATTGTTTTTATGCTGGAAATGCTGGTTTCCTTCCTCTTCAACCAAAAAAGGTTGAGTAAAGCGGGTTAGGAAGCTCTTGCCACCATAGTTCAGGAGTTTTGAAGTGGTGGCTACAGCGCATACCCTTAAGGTATTAGACCTTATCTATTTTAGTTATCTATAGCCTGTAGTTCTTTGTGAAGTTCTTCAGTGGGAGAGTAATCGTGTGCAGTCTGGGGTTTGCTGTCCCTGAAAGATCATGGCACATTTTTGAGAGATTTGCTAGAAGTAACTTAGGCTTTTCTAAACCCCTATTATATAACAGCCTGTACAGCTGGAGTTTTTACAGAGAATCACACCTCTCTTGGAAAAGGTTTAGGTATAAAACCTTAAATGGTTGAAAGCCTTGCTGTTGGAAAACATAATTTTGTTACCTGTAGTTACCATAAGCTGAAATTAAGTGAGGTATAACTGAAATAAAGTTTGGGACGGAATGTTTTATAGAGCTGTTATATCAATACAACTGAAAATGTATTTATTTAACTTTTTTTTTCTTCTCCCCATACAGTTAGCAAATAAATACTGGGCTCCACATGTGAAGAAAAAATTGCCTTTTGATTCAAAGGTAAATACTTCTACTGAAATTGTGTTGGGGTGTAAAAGAATGAGGATCAACCATTTTCTGATGTGCCAGCCTCCCGTGGTGCTTATTTTATATAAGAGTATAGCAGACTGCTTGGAAGGTCAGCAGCTGATTAACACTCTGTAATTTGTTAATGTATTTGTAGTTTATAAACGTAGGCAGTGTTATGAAGGTGTGTGGTGTGCTATAACAGTGCAGTTCTCCTGCCTGCTATTTGTTCAGTTCATTTTGGTAAAGAACTTAGGAGAGTGAAAGATTTTTGAGCATCTGCTTTACAGTCAAAAGGTGCTTAAGGAGGGGCTACTCTTGGAAATCAAAGAAGGAGGAAAGATGCAGGTATTATTGAACTGTATGCTTCTTTCTAAAAGCTTCTTGAGAGAGTTTTGATCAGACAACTTTACTACTGTTCTGGTGGATATGTGTGTTTTGAATGTCAAAAATTTGTCATGATGCGTTTGTTTTTCTGTAGATGGGGTTCTTGAATATCTGGTTTCATTCCCTTGTGAATATTTGGCTAAATTTCCCTTTCCACTCTCTCTCTTTGTAGTATCTGTGGTAGTATTTATCTGTTATTGTTAGAACTAGGATGTACATAAGCAGTTGAACTGCATCTCTGTGTCGTATGATGCGAGAGTGAGCCTGTTGCAACAGATAATGCAGATTCTTTCAGTCCTGTTGGAAAAACTACGTAATAGTGTCTGGATGTAGTTAAATGTCAGTTAAAAGAAAGAGTAACAACAGATGACAGAGTTGCTGCAGGCTTTACTCTCAAAGACTGTTCTTTAAATTCAACGCTAAGCCAAAGATTAACAATAAAAGAATTTGCAATCTGTTTGACTTTTCTATAAAAATCTCAGCGAGATGTTGATTATTCCTTCAGAATAACTTGAATGAAGGTCCAGTCAGTTCTCTGTCATGTGCTTATCCTGAAGTTGGTTCACCTTCTTTGTGGGAATGTATCTGTGAAGCTTCTGGACTCTTCAGAGCCAAGACATAATTGTTACAACACTTTTGATCAAATAGCAGTGAGCAAAGAGTAAATAATTCAGAGAAACTTTCAGTGCATAAGGTGTCTTAATACATTTTAATCACTTGAGGTATATAAAATTCTTAACCACTTTTTAAAAATATTCTTTCCCATAGGTTATTGAAGATGTGTATACAAAAGAAATTGTCAGGTCCAAGTAAGTACGCTAATCACTTTCACTTGCAGACAAGCATTCCAACATTATCTGTATTGAAGTGGTTTCTAATGTCTTGTCGAATTTCAAAATGCATTAACATGTTTAAAGCAGATGAAAATTACTCCAGTGCATGCGAGTCATTTAATTGTTATGGTATTTCAAAGTCTGAATGAGGGAAAAAGAAAGTTCTTGAGCTCATAAATGTGATGGTTGGACATAATATTGTTTGGTTCCTTGCTCTGGTAGTCTGCTTAGGTTTATATTGGCTTTGTTGTGATGGTTATAGAACGCTGACCCCTTCTTTTGTCACTAAGGTGTGTAAATTAAAAAAAAAACACTTGAGGAGTGTGCTGCCCCTAGCTCTTTGATTTTTCACTGGTTATTGTTACCTGGTTTGTAAAGAGGAAGTCTTATTTCAGTGAAATGTGATGTTACATGGTGGAGACAATTCAAGATTAACTGCATTCTGTAGCTTTGTGTGCAGAAAAGAGTTGTAACTGTAGGTGTTTGGAGTTTTTCTGGAGAAGTTTGGGCTCTGGAGAGAATTCTCTTTATGATTCCTTTATGAAAGTAGTCTAAGAATTGCCATATAGGATCAGAATAAGCTTCAGTTTCCAGTCAGAAGATACGCCATTATGAACTGATGAAATACATAGTTGTGGTTTTTCAGAAGACGCTCGGCTTCTAGCAGTTTGTGTCTTCAAGGCTATTAGAAGTGGTGTCTTCATATTTAAAAGATCTAGATGGGTTTTGTTTTATCATGTTTTGGGGTGTTTTTTTTAATTTTTTTTTGTTGTTGTTAATGTGTCTTTGATTGCTTAATGAAGCTGCATTAACTTTAGCTTCCAAGGTGTTGCAACAGTTACTTCTGCATTCAAGTGCTCTTGCATGGAAATGGAGGAAGGGAAAAAGGGGGAGGGGGAAGCAGAAATAATTCCTAGATGTTTCAACAGCTTTTGTTATATAACAAAATAAGGGAAAACACAGCTGTTTTCCATGCAGCTGTGATGTGTATGGGAGGCTTTCTTACGTGTTTTAATTGATTACTTTTTCCTTTTTAGGTTTGCTATTAGAAAGATAATGCTTCTTGAATTCAGGTAAGCTAATTGGAATGAAATTCTGAGTTATTTTTCCATAGGAACCTGTAAAGATAAGAAGCAAATGCAGAGCAGTAAGTCAGTTTGAATTAGTATTCTCATTTATTCCTACTTACTAAAGCCTTGAATTGTGTGCCTAGAAAAATGAAGTGAGGAGAGCTTAATTTAAGGAGGGGTTAATTTCATAAGCATAAGTAACATATCAGAGTATCTTGAATTTCTAGTGTAAGCGAAGCACCAAAAAAGAGGGTATGAATGCAATAGGTAAAAAAGCTTGGGTCTGTAATTTGGAATGTGTTATCAAGCCTGAAATCAGAACTCGATGAAGTCAGAGGAAGTTTTTAGGTTAAGTCTCTTAGGCAAGGGTAAAAGTGAAATGTGCTGCAGCAGCATTGCTAACATGTTTTTCCATTTGGAAATAAATGGAAATCTGTTTAGAAGATTCTTACATCTACTTCAGACTTTTCCTGGAAGAACTTATAAAGCATGTATAAAATGATGTAAAATAAATATTGGCAATATTTACATATTTTAAACCACAATATTTAATGTTTTGTTGGCTCTGTTTTATTTCACAAATCTTAGGAACAGATAGAATGAGGTGGGTTTTGGTTGAGATAAATTATTTGTTTCAAAAGCCTGAAATATATAAGTAGTGCCACTAACTAGAAAAGTAGGACAAACTTACGTATGTTTTTTATTTCTCTTTTAGAAAAGGTGGAAAGGAAAATAGAAGCTATGTTTGGGTTTTGACACTAACAAATGGCTTGCTGGTAGTATGAATTCTGGAATTTGTATACCAGCAATACCATGGAGTTAGAGGTTTTTGTTCTTTTTATGAACATTCTTAATGTTACCAGCCTGTAATTTAACTTTAGTACTTTCTGGACTATAGCCTGATCTTATTGCCATTTGTCCTTTAAGTCATGTTCTCTCTCTTCTTCTCCTGTCTCCCTCCATCTATCTGTCAGGCTCTCCTGTCTTCACACACATGAGATTTTCCTGTCCTTCATTCTTGCTCATGTAGGATTTATCCTGGATTGAGGGCATAATAGTATTTTTACTAAAATATTTTGAAGGTTTTAGAATTCCTAGGTGAAATGATATGTGGAGTTCTGTGGATTTAGGGGGACAACAGTTGTTGTCGTTTGCATTTTATGCTAGGAAATGTTGCATGATGTTCTTTAGACAAGTGAAGGTTTTTCGTTTTTGTGTTTTGTTTTGGTTTTTTTTTGTTGTTTTTTTGTTCTCTCTTTGGAAAATTAACATGAATTTGTGTTAGGACTTTATTGGGTTATGGACACTTGTTACATATGAAAACCTGGTAAATGTGTCTTCCTGATAAGAAACTCATCTGTCTCTTTGCAGCAGTTATGGAGTCTAACAAGTTTTGCTGCAGTGACCTAAATGAGAGGTAACGTCAGGAACTGTTTGCAAACTATGAAGATAGGTGTAAGGAGAAGGAGGAAAAAAACCTTGTGCATAATTGCTCTTTTAAATGAGTGACAGATGATGTAGGTGGCAGCAACTAATGAAATATTCTTTGTCTCTTCACAGCCAGTACCTTGAAAACTACCTATGGATTAATTATTCTCCAGAGGTGTCCAGTAAAGCATATTTAATGTCAATCTGCTGTATGGTGAACGAGAAGTTTAGAGAGAATGTCCCTGCATGGGAGGTAACTGATTTCGATTACAGCTGGAATTGACTTTGATTCACAAGTTGCAGCTTTTGCAGTATGCTTGCTTATACTGACAGAAGGTAGCAAAGCTTGTAGTGTTAAAAGTAAATGGTACCTCACCTGGAATACCACATAGTGGTGTTTTAAAGTGTGTGTTCTTTCCAGAGAAAGCAATGGATGTACAAAAAGTCGCCAGATTCCTGCTGAAGCATGACTCCTTTGTTCTGCTCTGTGATGCCAGTACATCAGCAGCAGCATTTGATTTTTTTGGCGCTTGACAAAAGTCAGCATTTGCAGAGTTCTTGCTCTGATACTAGAAAAAAAAAAGGATTGCCATAGTGTGAGAATCAATGATCAGGAGAAGATCATTAGTCAGTTTTGTTTGTGCTGCCTGGTCAGAATAAATGAAAAAGAGAAAAACTAAGCCTTCCTTTTAGAGATATAAATGGATTTAGGGGACTTACGTTATGTGAATGAAGAGCAAAATGATTTGTATCAATCTGACTTAAAATCAACTTCCTTTTCTATTTCTAGATATTCCAAAAGAAGCCAGAACACTTTCCCTTCTTTTTCAAATGCATACTGGAAGCATCACTGGTTGAAAATGACAGTGAATACTCTCTGCATGAACAGACAGTCCTGCTGCTTCTCCTTGATCACTGCTTCAACAGTTTGGTATATTAAAAGTAACTGTAATATTTCCAATGTGTTTATGCTATTCTGTGTTAATAACAGTTTAGTTTGAGCAGTCCCTCCTTATAAGACAGATGAAGCAAAATTCCTATTTAAGGAAAAGATGGTACCAAAGGGCTTTTACCCCTGTTTTTGGCTATTGCTGTATGGTTCCAGATCACAGGCAGAGTTGGAGAGAAAACATTTGAAATGACAGTTGAAATGACATGAATTACAGAGAAAATTAGTTATCTCGGATATTGGGAAGAGTGTAGATGAAGTGGGAGAAGCTTGATAAGGCTTCAGGAGAGAAGAAAGCATGAAAACAGGGAAAGCACAGTAAAACAGCTCGGTTCAAGAAGAAGAAATGACTGAAGAAGGAACATCAGTTCTCATTGTCTTCTATACTAAAAATACTTGCCTGGAAGGGGCCCCTGCTCAAGTATTAAGAACTGACAGAATCCATGAAAAGAACCTAAAATGCAGAAGTCTTCAACAGTTACAAGTGTTACTGAGAAGGGGCTGTTGTGCTGTTTCCTCTTAGGAAATTGTGGAATTTAATGCAATAATGTACTTGGTTTTGTCAGATAGTATACTTTGGGGTATTTTGTATTTTGTAAGGCACCTCAGAAAACATAAGAATTTTAAAATATATTTTCTGTCTGTAACTTTCTAACAGGAAGTGGATTTGATCAGAGCGCAGGTGCAGCAGCTCATTTCCTTACCGATGTGGATGGCTCTACAACCTGTAAGCATAACACTGTAAACTGGCAAAGCAATCTTCTAGGCATTTATTCAGGTTCTGTAAAGTGACTTCTTATGGTGCACTGTTGTGGAAGTCTGATTATTTAAAGCTGCCTGCTTTGCTGTAGAATTACGTATTTGTGTACTTGGTAGAATTATCTTTCTTGTTTATTATTAATTTCAATGTAATTATTAATGATGTAATTTTTCATAAAACTAAGCTTTGTTGCTTATAGCTTCTTCAGGCTATAATTTGTAGACAAGGCCATGAAATCACGGGAGCCATGAAATGGAGCTGACGTCTAGCCATAGCTACTCTCTAGCAGTACTGTGTTCTTGCTTTACAGTAATACTTTGATTATCTGAGACAGCTATTTTTTTTTTTTGTTGTATATCTTTTCTTTTTAATAAAAAGACTGGATTGTATTTTTATCTCTCATGAAAACAAGGATTCTTGATGACTGAATAACATTGTAACATTTCAGAAACGACTGGAGCAAGAGCTGAAAAAGACACCAAAACTAAGAAAATTCTGGAATCTAATTAAGAAAAATGATGAGAAAATGGATGAGGAGGCAAGAACACGGTATGTTACAGAAGCCTTTTTTCCTGATAACTCCAAAGCCCTTAATGCATTCATTGTGTTTCAGCTAAAATAAATTGTTTCAATTAAAAAATGTGTTGTGTTTTTTTTTTTTTTTTTAAACAACTACGAAGATGACACATAAGGATTAATCATGTGGTCTCTTTATGGAAAATACTGTTATAGAACTTAGTATTTTATTTGATCAGTGAATTTGTGATACCAACTCTTGGAGCTGTAGGGGTGAAAGCCATAAAAGAATGTTCATGTAGTTACTCATACTTTTTCATGACCTTTAGCAAATGTTTAGCTTTTAAGCATATAGCTTATGCAAATATTTGAATAAATTTGTGTGTATATCACCAAAGTTAAACGTTCCAGTACTTTTGTGTTACAATCTGGTAAGGTGTAGGTGGTGACGTGCATTTCCTTTTTGGCTCAGTATAAGCATAGGCTGTTAAGCAGTTCTGTGCCTAAAAGTGTACACTATTAATCTGTCTGCCTGAGAGAAGAGTTATAATCTAAACATTTTACATGTGTTTCAAAGCAGCCTGCTACTGTTATATAAATTTTAAAGCAGCTTTGTGTTAGTGAAAGTTACAATGTACTTCTGGTTTGCATTTAAGGAATATTAATGATTTTGTCATGTATTTGATTTTAGAGCATATCAGGAGAGAAGATTTCTTTCACAGCTCATCCAGAAATTCATTTCTGTGCTGAAGTCAATACCTGTCTCAGGTAGCTGTGGTTCTTATGTTGCTTTGTTATCTGGTAATCTGTCTTGAATTCTTTTCCTGTTGCTGAGTTTGGAGACCTTCTCTGGATAGTGTTTTAGTGAAATACATGCTTATCAGCATGAATTTCATGTCAAAATTAGTATTTGCATCTGTATATGCTTTAAAAATGAAATAGCAGAAAGCTGCTTTAACTTTCTTCTGGTCAGTATGGACTTCATTAAAAAGTATTTCTGGGAATTGATATTTTTGTTGTGTGCTTACAGCATTAAAACATCTCTTACATACTTAGATGCCTTGTTAAACAGGTAGTTTAAATACGTATAATAAGGCTTTGTTCTGTTAATATTCTTGATTTAAGGTAAGAACAAAAGCCTAAGTGAAATTCTGTAAGATTTGACTGCTCTTGATTTAGAAGTCATTGTGACAAGCAAAATTGTATGCTTGCCTGATTTAGAAAGGAAGAGTGTTTGTAAAGGAAAGTGTTAGCCTTTTGACAAAAAAGGCTTATTATGCTCTAAGCACAGCACAGTTTGGGTAAAATCACTTCCTAGAGTTCTGCTTCTGCTCTTAAACTCAGTGAACTAGCTCTTAGCTGAGCTGTAAGGGGAAATTGCGTACTGTAGCTTCCTCAGAAAGTATACCTATCCTCTCTATTTCTCCAATTATGCAAGACCCATTTTAGGAAGACTTATATGAACAGTTATTTGGAGGTTTTGGAAGTATATATTAGTTAAAGCAGACTTAATTTGTGTTTTGACATGATTCTAAAGACTCCTCAGCAGTCATCACTGAGTACCTTTGAATATTGTCAAGGCCTTTCGCACACACCATGATTATGGCTTTAAAATAGGTATTTTTGGGTACGTGGAGTTAAAATTTCTTAAGAAGCTTAGCAAGCCATTGGTATCTTGTGGAAGTGTTCGTTTTGTTTCACATTGCTGTTTTTTTTTCAGAGTGGGTAAAATAACTCCTGAAACTCTGGTTCCATTACTTTCTTGTATCCAAAATTTTTCTGGTTTGCAGTGAAAGAAAGGACTGTTTCAGAAAGAGAAGAATGTGTTAGTTAACTTTTTAATCTTGTTAAAACTTATATCAGTGTGTTATAGTATATTAGTAGCATTTGTTACATTTCTAAAGAATAGTTCTAATACAAGTGTGTGGATCAGTTGCAGAAAAATACTCTTTTTTTCTATGTAGGTCCTATTTCTATGGACAAAGTTCATTATTGTGAGAGATTCATTGAACTTATGCTAGATCTTGAGGTAAGTTATTGTAAATTATTCAACCTATTTCCAGGTGTTCTAATGTTCCAGATTTTAAATGTGTAAAGTAATTATTTCAGCCTTGTTCCAATTAGCAGGTCTTTATGTTGCAGTTGTGCATATGGTTGCTTAACAGTTGTTTTCCATCTGTAAATTGGAGGTTTTAGCAGTGCATCCACACTGGGAACTGACTAGTAAGGTTTATAAACCTGATGAATTGTTAGGAGAGAGCTAGGATCCTGAATTGCTCAGTGAAGAGGACTTTGTTAATTGGGGTGATGGTAGTAATTCTGGCAGTTGATTGTGTGACACTTTAATCTGCTAGGAATGACCCAGTATTCTTTTCAGTGTGCAAAAGGTCACTTAAAGGTACCTCGTGTTGTAGGGCATAATCCCAGAAAGCATCACTAGTTCTGGAATGCTGTCAATTTCTATTTGACTAGAATTCAGTATTTAGAACTAACAGTTTTGGTGACCTAGGCTTGTTACAGAATAACAGGAGGCCAGGCAAGGTTTTGTAAAATTTTTAAGCAGGTGCTGAGAAAGTGGGACAATTCTAAGCTTTACTTGTACCAGAATTAAAACTAAAATACATTAATTTATAATTTTTCACATGAGTAGCAGTTTCTTTAAAATAACTTGGGATTTAGAAGACATTCTGAAATAAGAGTGTTTTCTGAAACAGTAAGAAGAGGGAATTCTAAAATGGCATGATCTTTGACTCATATGGGCTAACTGTCCTCTGCTAAATTGCTGAAGCTGTCTGTGCTTGTAGTTGCCATAGAATGAATTTTTTAAGTTAGAGCTTGTTGTTTTATGGATATAGTGTGCTCTCCTAAGGCAACATATGTATTTGAAGTTAAACTTTAGTCTGGCTGTTAGACGAAATGCTTACAGGTAGTACGTTTAATGTTGGTTCTTGCTAGGTATTTCAGGAAGATTAGAATTCAAGCAGTTTTATGAAGCCTGTTTAAGTGACTGGAACAAGCAAATGAGAAATTAACTATAAATCCAAGTCTTTTTTTTCCTTGGTAGAATGTACTGTGTTAATGGACTCTTTTACCTATGCTTTTTTTCAGAATATTCCAGTTTCATATTACCATATATATAGACTGCCATGAAAGTTTGGTGATTTGATAATTTGAAAAGAATGAATCCATGAAAAGTTCTTATGGTTTTCTGAGCATTTTTTGTTTGTTTTTTTTTTGTGTGTGTGTTTGTTTTTATATAATTGTTGTGCAGGACAATTAACATTTTCTACTACATATTCTTTGTCTTAGTTCTAAACACCATGTTGACACTTTTTGCCTTTCTAAGTTCAGTCTGTAGATTCCATTGACAGCGGCTCACTTTTTCTTCTCCACTTGTTGAGATGTACTGCTGTCTGCTGTTGAACAGGTGCTATGTAGAGCATGTTCTCTTGTTTGGTATTTTTTGTTGTTTTTATTTTTTTTTTGTTTGGGTTTTTTTTTGTTTGTTTGTTTTGTTTTTACAAAAATCTTTTGTAGGTTTTTAATTAAGATTTGAAAAAATCGTAGCTCTAATTTGAGTATCTTACGAAGAATAGAGATGCCATACAATATTTTGAAACACAGTTTCACAGAATCATAGCATAGTTAGGGTTGGAAAGGGCCTTAAGATTGTATAGTTCCAACCCACCTGCTATGGGCAGGGATACCTCACACTAAACCATGTCACCAAAGACTTCGTCCAGCCTGTCCTTGAACACTGCCAGGGATGGAGCATTCACAACTTTCTTGGGCAACCTGTTCTAGTGCCTCACCACCCTCACAGTAAAGAACTTCTTCCTTATATCTATCCTAAAGTTTGTAGTTTTGAGAAAGACATGTTTAAAATGAATGAGTATAGAAAACAAATGTTTAAAATAATATTTCAGAGTTTGACGTGCCCTTTGTAACGCACAGTCATTAAGTAGACACTCGGTAGCAGAATGATTGCTTTGTTTAATTTACTTTTATTACTGGCAGGATGCAATTGCACTAATGGCAAGTTTGTGCCCTGCTCCCAGTCATCCAACAAGTTGTGCTGACAGTAGCCTACCCGCATAAAATCAATCTTGCTTCTTTAATGTGAGATCCTCTGGTAGGGTATTAGGTATGTAAACAGCTTTGCAGCAGTCCATCTTGGTATGCCTTCCTGAAATAGAAAACCGTGAAGAACCAGGATTTCTTGCATTTTGAAGAGTTGCTTATATTAATGTGAGGTTGTTTACCACAGGCTTTGCTTCCCACACGACGCTGGTTTAATACAGTGTTGGATGACTCCCACCTTGTTGTTCACTGTTACCTGTCCAGTCTTGCTAAAAGAGAGAAGGAGGGTCATCTCTTCTGTCAGGTGAAATGCAAAATTGTTGAAAATAACTTTTTCATTCTGATGCAGCTCTAAATTCTTCAATTGTTTTGTTTTGTATTTTTTAAGGCAGGTTTTTCTGATGTATGCAAACTACGTGTTGATTTAAATCCTTCAGATGGTAGTTCTTTCCTGACTGTACCTGTGTGTGTGACTGCTCTTACATTTCTGGCTCCATTTTTGAACAATTCTTTGAAGTACAACCTAGAAAACAGTGCAGCTTCTGGCATGCTTTACCCCACATGTTGCAGAAGTTGTCGCCAGTGCATCCTTCTGTGCTTCATTCTGACCTCAGACTATTCTACCTAACAGTGCCTTTGTGTTTCACTACTGTCCTTCAGTTTACTCAGTCCATATACAGTATATTGTTTTTTTTGTGGCAGGAGCTGAAGATCTGTCCCATTTCCTGCATTTCAGCTGCTTTTCCTGCTGCTTGCTGTCCCCAGTCACTGGCATTTGTTCAGTTTCTCTGAGGGTCAGTACTGATGGAACACAAAGCCAGTAGCAGATCTGAATAATTTTCCCAAGTTAAGTAATCTCACTGAAAGGTAGGATGAGTTCCAGAGCTGACATCAGAGAGGGTAAGAGGGAGCAAGACCTTTCCCTTCTTTAGTAAGCAGCAAGCCAGAAGTGGGGTTCAGTGTCTGAGTGAACCTCTGGCTAGATCACTGTAGTGTGACTAGTTTCAGGTCCTAGTATGTAAAAGAAACTGCATTGGTTGTGGGCAGTGCTGTAATTCCTATGGCTTCTAAATGAGATAGCAAAATTATTTTATGCATTAGCCAAGTATAAAACTTAGACACAACTTCTTAGTCCATTTCTCCTAGAACTTTGAGGAGCTCTTTTTTGTAAATAGTGCCCAGATTTGTCCTTTTAAATTGTGTTTCTTTGTTTGTGGTAGGGTATCTCTTATTCTTAATGCACTAATTTATATGGATAATGTCTCAGCTTTTAGATATGCTTAAATTCTACACTGGCTTTGAAATCAATGATCAGACTGGAAATGCTTTGACAGAGAATGAGATGACAACAATTCACTATGACAGAATTACTTCACTACAGGTAGGCAGACAGTGAAGCATTTATGGGAGAGGAAGGATCTGGTTTTGTTGTTTTAGTCCAATTTGTGTCTGGAATAGGCATTAATTTAATATCCAAAGCAGACCCCTTCTTTTTCCTGTTGAGTTACAGGAGTAATTTTAACTTGACTTTCTGTACCATATTGAATAAGCTTAACACTTCAATACTATGTGTGTGACTATAGCTAATTACTATGCTCCAGCAGAACCACCACTTTTGATTTGATATTGTCAAGGTGAACTGCTCCCATTCCATTCAGAATGGAAAATTAAGTGCCGTAGGAACTTAACTTACAATTATGCAGTAGGTGGCACCATTTCTTCAAGATCAGTAGGAACTTAACTTATGATTATGCAGTAGATGGCACCATTTCTTCAAGATCAGTACGTACATATGATGATAGCAGTAGCGGCCCCTTGTACAGAACAGACAAAAATTCACATTACTTGTAGTCATGTAAAGATAGCTACACTTTTCAGAATTTCCCCCATCAATTTTAACAAAAAAAATAAAAGAAGCAGTCCATGTTTTTCTTAGTTGCCTGCCCCTTATGTTTTATTTTAGTGGCAGAACAAGTGCTGATAGGAGAGTGTATAAAAAAGGATAGTGTCAGAAGCACGGGGGTAACAGATAAGTGGTGCAAAGAAAAATGGAGATTTTCCCTGGTTTTTGTTTCTGTTCTGATAATGTCCATATCTCGGTATGTGTTAGGAATCATAAGCTATACTTTTTTATTAATACTTAGATTGTTATTAAATTGTTTCATTAATATGCTTACATTCTGTTTTGGGGCATGGGTCTTTTGTAGAGGGCAGCGTTTGCACATTTCCCAGAGTTATATGACTTTGCGCTCTCAAATGTAGCTGCGGTGGATACTCGTGATTCCCTGGTGAAGTTATTTGGACCCCTGAGGTAAGTTACCAATACGAAATTTAACATGAAACTGCAGTTCTTTGTTCTCAGTAGGTTTTAATTTAACAAATTGCTAGCCTTTTGTCTTTCTGACTTCTCAGGTCTTTCTGACTTCCCATGGTGCTTTTATATCTGCTAAAATAGGGAGACGGGGAGAGTTCGTGTCCTCTAGTAGCAAAGTACTAGAATTCCAGTATAAAAAAAAAAGGCTTCTATTTTCCTTTTTTTTATGTGTGAATGTAGAAAGGCCCTAACTTTCTGGAAAACAGCTAGCTGCTTAAAGTAATTGTAGCAGTAATTAACTTGCAGTAGTTAACCTCTAACTTTTTTAATTTGGCTTTTTTTACTCTGTTTTGTACAAAAAATACAACAGAAATTATAAAAGTATGCCACTGTATTAACTGTGCTGTATTGTTATGCTGTGATTAAAAGGGTAGCAGTCTGTATTTTGACAAAGGCAATGTTTGCTCTGTTGTTTGGTTCTGCATTCAAGTACACATCTTGAAACAATAAAAAATATTCATATCTTGCTTTGTTTATTGTGGGTGAGTGGTTCAGCTTACACTTGTGCCTGAACACACTTCCCTCATGGAAGTGCTGTAGATCACTTTGTAACAATTCCAGAAGTATTTTAAATATCTCAAACTTCACTTAAAATACTGATCTGTCTTTGAAATTAATAGTTGGATTTTTGTTTGTTTGTTGTTTTGTTTTTTTTTAAGAAAAAAGAAAGCTATGGTGCGTGCTGTCCTTGGTTTTATTGCAAATGACCAATGACCCAAGCTTCTGTTTTTTCTTCTGCTGTGCAGCTCAAATGTTCTTCACCAGGTGGCATCATATCTCTGCCTGCTGCCATCCCTTCCAGAAGGGGAAGACTCAAGCTATGAAAAGGAGTTTCTGCTGGAGCTGCTGGTAAAAATATAATTAATACTGCTTGCATTTTTTCTTTTGCAAACTCAGGGCAGCTAAATCTAGCAACTACACTGTGGTAAAGTAGCCATTTAGGACCTTTAGCTGAACTGCCTGTGAACCACAGCAGGGTTTTAATAGTAATACTAAAATGGGGTTTAAGATCATAAAAATGAAGCATTAAAATGCTTATTTATAGAGGTAGTTTTCCTGAGAAACTAGGATGTGTATGTTAGGTGTAGTTGTAAAGGTATAGACAAAAACCAGAATCTCAGAAACAGCTCTTCTGGAAAAGTTTATGTAGTAACCTGTTTGTCCCCTTTAGAAATAAGAGGTCTTCTAAAGCAGATCTAGATAGTCAGTACCTATTTGATTCCTTGAACCCATTTGAAGTACCATTTTGGTACATCATGGTTATTTGGATATTCATTGTGTAATGATATTACTGTGGGAGTCTACTCTTGATATCAGTGTTAGAATGGCATAGCTGTTTTAAAAATCTTTTTTATAGGCTTATTTTATGCTTGTTAATTCCTTTAAAATTTGTTTGCACAATTTCCTAAGGTTTAGACATGATGTTTATGGATGCCATATTTGTTCAGATGACATTGTAGTATTGGATAGATTTTTTTTTTTTTTCTGTCTTGAAGAGGGAATTAAGACTACTTGTTGCTGAATGAGCAGTGTGAGCTAATAGCATTAACTGTTGACCACATGCTTAATGGAAAAGCAAATAAATTTTATCTTAAGTTGATTTTCTGCTAAGCCTTGACTGAATGTTTTCAGTTCGGTTGTGTCTTTTTGGGTCTGCTGAGTAGCCAGATGATTGGTTGACTCCTGTACTACGACCAATAGTTGGACTAGGTGTATGTTCATGTTCTAGTTTCACTCTTTGTATTTAGTTATATTTTATTAAAAAAAAAAAACGAAGCAAACAAAAAAGCCCCCTAATAACAGCAACAAAAAAAAAACAACAAAAAAACCCAGAACCAAAGCAAACCTAAATGTATTAAAAGAGAGAAAATGACAAGTGACCACCAGCAGTCTTATGGGTCAATGTGCATATTTCAAAAATAGCTTTATTTTCCCTTTTTGACTTACAGAAGTTTAAAATGCATCCTTTCTTTAGGTTTCCCGTCATGAGCGACGAATATCTCAAATTCAGCAACTCAACCAGATGCCACTCTATCCCACAGAGAAGATTATTTGGGATGAAAATATTGTACCAACTGAATATTATTCTGGAGAAGGTATGATTAGTAGTTCAGTAAATGCTGAAGAGGACAGTAGATGCTGCAGAAAAAAGCAGTTCCAATGTTTAGGTTCATTCTGTCTTTGGAACTTACGTACTGTACTTTGGCATCTTCCAGTATATTGGAGTGAGGTTAGCTTTTATGAGTTGTGAGTCAGGAACTCTAAGGTGAAATTATTAGCAAATTTATAGTGGAGTTTTTGAGAAATCCAAAGGCCTGTATTTACAAAGACATTTATTTGCTTCTAATCTGGATAACAGATACGGTATACTACCAGCTGTGGCACAGGTAGTTACTGTAACATGAGAGAGGTTGTAAACATGCAGCAGAAAAGCTGTTGTCTGTACTTCTCTCTTAAGTATGTTCACTAAAGCCCTTTTTTTGTTGTTGGGGTTTTCTTGTTTTTTTTTTAAGTGGTAGAATTAGCACGGATTATCTTCCTCTTATTTTAAGGTACTTGTGTACGTAGTCACTGAAATGTAGTATATACACTCTAAATTCAGAACCTAGTGTTCTTGCTCGATGTTCTCATGATCAAGCAAACTCCAGGTATTGCAAACAAGGAGTTAGGTAGTTTTAAGCTTTTCAATGAACAACGCTTATTTTTGTCTAGCTACTTTTAAAAAAAATGTATTGATGTGGATCCTGAGAATTTTAATTAGGAATATAAAAACTTTAATTTGGAGCATGGAGATTCCAAATAACAACATATATCTTTAAAGACTAGTACAAAGTATGTTTCTGGTTTGAGCACAGAGTATTCCATACCCTCCTTCATACCGTTTTAATTCAGAGATACTTTTTGTGTAGGTATAAGCCTTAAATTCAGCTGCTTAGCATAAATTAGGGTTGTTTTTGTTTTTGTTTTTTTATAAATTCTCTGTGAGCAAATATTATTGACAAGAAAGATAATTTTTGAAGCATTTTGTCTGCAGACTGTTACAAGTATTTTTCAGTTTTGCTTCTCTTAGTTTCAGTTTACTGTTTCTCTTTTTAATCTCCACATATTCTCCAGCCCTTATTTCCAACGAGACAGTTTTATTTTGATGGTCTTGGTTTTTTTGTCTTGCTAAAAGTAGCAAAATTATTTTAGCCCAAGAAAGATAGAAGTACTGCTTCTGTTTTCTCCTAAGAAATAAGGGACGAAAAGTCTGTCTGACAAATGCTGTGCAACCTTAAAGAGGTGTTGCTGCAGGCCCTACCCTTTGTGCGTATAACTAGCTTTACTGGACTGGGTTTGTTACTTCTTGTTGGGAAATGAGTTTAAATATTTTATCACTATAAGACTTTTTAGAATAAAAATTGCCGTGTTCTACCATCTTTTTTCACTCCCATTGTATCTTAGTGCATGTGAAAGCTAATATGAAGTACATATACCAGTGAAATGTTTCAAGGATAACATTGCGAGTTACCAAAGCTTGATGTTTTCACAGGTCTTGAGCATAGATGTGAAGCTGGAACATTAGTCCAGTATTGTTAAATGAGTAACATGTAATAGTTTTAGGTGCGAAATTTCCATAATAAAAACTATCATAAAGATGTGCAAGCTTTAGAACCTGTCTAGGAATTTTAATACTCCTTGTTTAGTTAGATCTAATCTTCCCATGTTTTTCATTCTCATTAAAAAAGAAAAAAATAAAAAAATCTATGATTAATAACAGAAACTTCTGAGGAAAGTTGTGTGTTAAAAACTGATTTCTTGGTTTAAAACTTTTTTCAACATTACTGGCTTTTTGTGGCTTCTAATAAGCATAAATGATTGGAGTTGGGGAATTGTTGGATAATTCATAGGTTTTATTAGTTAATGAACCTTTTTCATTATTATTTAATGCTGGCTTAATTGTTCCATTCCCCAAAAAACTGTTAATTTGCCCTTTGTTTGATTTTTATAAATTCAGTTCTGTTGTCTGAATACAGGGAAGGATTCAGTCTTTATGTCATTATGTATGGCATTACTGCCAGAAGGATGAAAATTAATTTTGAGCAGGTTCATTTCAAGAAAACATGAAGAATGTGTGCTTTTTAAGAGGCCTGTATTTATAAAAGGGGGTAGTTCATAGAATCTCCCAGGATAACAGTCATGGTAGTTATAAAGTAACATGTGTATGAATTCTTAGAACCAATATATTAATTTATGTAGTTTATCCATCAAATACCTCTTCCCTTCTACCCTTACCCCCTTAGGCTGTCTTGCACTACCTAAACTGAATCTGCAGTTTCTCACTCTCCATGACTATCTGCTGAGGAACTTCAATCTTTTCCGCTTAGAGTCTACCTACGAGATCAGACAGGACATCGAAGATAGTGTCAGTAGGATGAAACCATGGTAATTATTAACTAATGCAAACCAGTAATTCAGCTTCAATTATAATCAAAGTGCATTTGAAAATGAGTAATTTATATTGTGTGTATACTAAATACATAGTAACAAATGTATTTAAAATTATTACACAGGTACTGCTTCATCCATAAGGTTTTGCAACCCTGTGGGATGATTTTATAGGGGTGTGTTTATATGTATCCCTGTAGATGTGTTAAGACAATACGTTGGATGCTAGCAATCAGTCTTTGTTGTGTTAAGGCGGATGAGTTTTCCAAAAGGACTAAGCCTGGGCTGACATTACAAAATCTGGAACCTTACCACCAACATTTCTGGTTTATGGGAGGTGTTACTGAGTAGTCTTGAATTTGCCATCTGCCACGTTTTGATCCTCTTTAGTTTTCAAGGGATCATTTGGTGCCATAGCTCTTAAAGTCCGTACAATTTTTTTTTTTTTATAATGCCAGTATAAGTTGCTTTTGTTTCTTGAAAAATAAGTCAGTTCATGTTATGCTTCAGTTCTAAAATACAGGAGTAGGTGAATCTGCATCAGTAGCATGTAAAATTAAGGCTTCTACTTTTTGTCTTAGAGCTGACTGTGAGGTAAACTGTTTCACACTTTATCTGACAAAAGAATCTTTTGTCAGATAATCACTTAAAACTTCTGTGTTTGGGTTTTTTGTTGTTTGTTACAGGTTATCTGAATATGGAGGTGTGGTCTTTGGTGGATGGGCTAGGATGGCACAGCCCATTGTCTCTTTCACAGTGGTGGAGGTAGCAAAGCCCAATATTGGTGAAAACTGGCCCATGCGAGTACGAGCAGATGTTACTATTAATTTGAATGTCCGAGATAATATCAAAGATGAATGGGAAGGTACTTAAGTTCTTTGAAATAAAGTGATAAAATAGGTGCCCATCAAAATACATTTTGATGTAATCTTATTTGTAAGACCGGTTATTTTAATCAGAGATGCAGATTTGCTGATCTTTACACAGTATTTAAAAGTTAGTTACTCAAATTCCAAGTCTAAGAAGTTTATATTTTCCTTAAATGAGGATTATATCGACAGTGTTAAAGTATTTGCGTGTTCATTGGGACCAGAATGTTTCCTATTTCAGCCTGATGTCATACAGTTTCTTAATGGAAAATTCTGCCCTTTACAGGGAATGTGGAAAAGTAAGTTAGCATTTTAAATTAATATGCATGCTAATAATGTCATATTGGAAGGATAGTGGGGAATGTGATACCTGTCTCATATTCAAGCAGAAAGGACAAATTGTGATTAAATTCAAGCCAGTGCATTTTAGTAGCTTTCAGTATATTTGAATGTTGTTAGGAAGTGATGATTGTACTGTTAGTACCAAATACCGTTGTTTAGAAGTGTACACAGGTGACGGTTCTTCCGCTTGAAGAACTGAACTTTAGTTGACTGTGTTGGCAAGTGGCATAGAAACATGTACTTTACTTGGATTATCAGTAAATGTCACTCCCTTTTGTTAGAGAAATCTGTTAAATGTGCTGTAGCTGCATAGTGTGATTACAGGTCACATACACAAATGCTAAATTTGGAGCATATCATAAATAAGCAGATACAAGTTTGGGAATGTAGATTTCTATTAAAGTAGAAAACCTAGGAGGATGGCAGCAGACTTCACCATGCTGAAGGTATCTATATAGTGGCGCACCTGGCTGTTTAAATACTAGAACAGCCTCTGTGATCTCAAAAGCAGTAATGCTTTAACTTCATCAAACCTAAGTGAGGAATTCATGAATCATTTCCTGACATAACAGGGTCTTGATGAAACTGCTTTAGGTTGAATAATATCCTGTGTGTTGTGAGAAATTATTTCTCTTGTATAAAAAATACAGCATGTTTTTACTAAATTTTGAAGGTGTCTTGGATCTGTGAGCAACTGTAGATATACTGGAGAAAAAGATTAGTGTTTATGCTGGTGAATTGGAGAAACTACATATTAAAAGTAGGGTGTAGTTCACCACGGTGAATATTAAGATACTAAACTTAAGCAAGAACAAGTCACTGCACAAATGCATGTTGTAGTAATGGCTTGTTAGGCAGTAGCTCTGCAGAATGGAAAGAGTCCGAGGTCTTAATTGCTCAAAAGCAAATGTGGCTCCACAAGAACATGTTATTACTGAGGAGAAAAATAAAAACGCTAAACCAAGTCATATTGGGATTCATAAACTGGAGTGTAGCCTGGAAGACAAGTAATTGGTTAAGTGATCTTTTACCTTTCTAAGTAGATAACTAAACTTTAAGATTTTCTGCCCTAGTTCTAGGTACTGCACTTAAATCGTAAAGAAAAAAAAAAAAATTAGTACAGAAAAATGGAATAAGAGATTAATGGCACACTTGAGGTAAGACTGAAAATACCTAGGTTGTGTGTAACCTAACTGAGGTTATTTCAAGACAAGTCTGTTGTCATGAAGAAAGTAGTCAATTTCTCCTTCTCATATCTGAGATCAGTGTGGAAAAGATGACGGTATCCTGTGGTTTTGTATCCTCTAAGTTAAAGGCATATGTTGAAACAAAACACTTTCTTTTTTAAACAGGTGCGGTTTTACTTGAATTTTTGTGGATTCTGTTGTGTGTTTGTATATATATATATGTGTGTGTGTGTGTGTATGTATAAAGGAATAGAGAAAGGAAGTGGTATTTGATCAAACCACTGAATGCTCCTCTTTGGAATCAGGTCTGCGTAAGCATGATGTCTGCTTTTTGATCACGGTACGTCCTACACAACCTTACGGCACCAAGTTTGATCGACGACAGCCTTTTGTTGAGCAAATTGGCCTGGTGTATGTCAGAGGCTGTGAAATCCAGGGCATGTTGGATGAGAAAGGACGTGTTATTGAAGAAGGTAAGATATACCAAAACCTGTTTGAAATATTTTTTTTCCTTTTATTTTTTTTCTTTGTTGTAACAGCCTGGTTGTTGACTTGCTTGTCTTTTAACCAGTGCTCATTGAATTCATTACCTACTTGAAAAAAACAAAGCAATTCCATAAGCAGCCATAGAAAGGTTAACTAGTTTCCTCTGGTAAAATCTGTTGTAATTAGATTAATTAAATTCAGTGCATTTCCGGTTTAGGAATAAAATAGCTTATAATTAGAAAATCTGTTAGAAATGGGATGAAAAGGTGAAATAAGAATGTTTGTAATGCCATGCAGAAATGAGTTTCATCATATGAATTTTCTAAACTTCATTTTAGGATTCACTTATTTGAATGATAATCTGCTTTTAGCGCTAACTCAAATTCTGTTCTTACTGTTTCATTATGGGCAGGACCTGAGCCCAAACCAAGACTTAAAGGGGATTGCAGAACATACAGAGTATTTCTGGATCCAAACCAGTATCAACAAGACATGACCAATACAATCCAGAATGGAGCAGAAGATGTTTATGAGACATTTAATATAATAATGAGAAGAAAGCCCAAAGAAAACAATTTCAAGGTAAGGTGCTTGCTCATTAACTCTTAGGAGAAGAGTTGGTCTGAATATGCCAGCAATAGAGACATGTTCATTTCAGATGCATGTAGGTAGGCTTTTTAGTGACATCTGATCACTGCAGGAATTTGGAGCATGTCAGGTGCTGATGACTTCCCCTTTCACAGAAGCATTGAAAATAACTGAAAAGCAGACCACTCCGAATTCACTTGAGTGGTTTATCATTTCAGTCTTTTAACAGGTAGCCTACAGATTAATTTTATTTGGCTTTTTGGGTTAAGGGAGTATGTGGAATGTTTTTGTTACCTGATGTGATAGTGGACTGCAGGAAAAGGAGGAGTAACTAGTCAAAAGGTTCAAATTGGAGAAAACTGTTACCTTTTGGGAGCATCACTGGATTCTTACTGGCTTTGGACGGTGTCAGGTGAGGTTTTTAGCACTGATATATTTGATAGAGATTGTATGTGAACTGGAGCTTTGTAGAGTGCCTCTTTTTCCTGAAAATGTTTCGTGTATGCATGCTCAGTTTCTTTGCTGTTTAGACCTTTGAATCTTTAATGTTCCTTGAGTTTTCCATTATGAAAATGCAACATGAATGACAAACTGCCTTTCTTTTGGTACCTTAAAATCATGCATTGTGTAGTTGAGGTGCTTTTCATTGTAAAGGATTCTGCAGCATGTCCTTTGCAGGTGGATGCAGAGGGAGGCATGAAACCTGAGACTTTTCTGTATCTGGAAAGATGCCTCTGGTGTAAAACAGTAGCTTTTGGTCTGCACAGAGCATTCTGGTACCATCCTGCTGTGGACTGGTATACTGGAAGTACTTCAGAGAGAGTTCTTTATAACTTTGCATTGCCCACACTACCCCCCCCCCCCCCCCCCCAAAAAAAAAAAATCAAACAAACAAACCTAAAAACTTAAATGTTGTATGTCTGGCAGGTTCATTTTACATTACAAGCACAAGCTCCCTTTGCCAAAGCCAGCAAAGCCAGTTGGTGTGCTAGCAGTATAGACCTGATTTTATTCACATATGTAGGCACTTTTGTGTAGTCAGAAGGAAAGTCAATACTTAAGTTTGGTCAGAATTGCTGTTAGATGAGAGTGTACTGTGTCCTTACAGCAATTTCACAGGCAAATCACAATGCAAGCCATTCTATGCTGGTTTTTACTTAAGTCTCATATATTAATTTTTCAAGACAAACGAAGATATTTCCAGATTTATCACATTATTATCAATTTAGGTGCGATAATTCAGTCTTATTTGCAAATATTTCTAACTTTAGCTGGATAAAAATACCCTTTATAGAGGCTGACTGTTTAAGCAGAAATAATGATCACTTTGATTCCTGAATAATACAACAGAAGTAGTAAAAGGGCAGAGAATCCTGCTCTTTGGAGCTAGATATGTAAATTTATGCTATCTGAATAAAATTCCATACTTTGTCTTGGCTGATTGTTCTTTTACAAGATCAGCATTTGGAAAATCTGTATTATATCCTGTTGTGGACTGCTGATGCACTGTGTTTGCCATCTGTGTCCATGTTTGATGGCGCGGTAAGTTGGAGGATATGGAAATCAGCAAAGGTCTCCTATCCTGTTGAGGAGCAGGTGTGTGATGTCCTAATACCAACTTTCAAGTAAGATTTCTTGTTGAAGACTTCCCACTGAAGTAGTCCTTTAACAGAAAAACTAAAGTTCAGCTACCTCTTAGTTGAAATACACATCCTTTGTGCATGTCCAGGGTCTGGAGCATTGGTGTTTTTATGGGGGTGGGGAAAGAAAGAAAATACTGACATAACTGCGAGTAGAAGAATTAATTTGGAGAGAAATTTAACCTGGCTTCAGGATAAAATTTACAGGGTTGATAGAGAAGTCTTAAGCTGCATGAGTGTATTTTATGTCATTTTCTTTCCTCTCCCTCCTCTGAGTGTTCTGGAATGAAAATTTTACTGATGTCTGTGGTCCTCTTTACTAACAGAATAGTTGAATATTTTAAGAATTACATGTTTGGCACTGGTGTTTTTTTCCATATATGAAAATATATACACAGAATGTGTATATATTGACTGAATCTGACCAAACAACTATCAGGTAAAGACTGTTATATGCAAGCATTTAGAATAGATTTGGTTAGTCTTCTTGTCATTATGTCTTGTTTTCTTAGTAAGAAGTCAATCTCCCCAGTCATGTTTTTCCATTTTTCTAATTCACAGGCTGTTCTGGAGACTATTAGGAATTTGATGAATACAGATTGTGTGGTTCCTGACTGGCTGCATGACATCATTCTCGGATATGGAGACCCAAGTAGTGCACACTATTCAAAAATGCCAAATCAGATCGCAACTCTGGATTTTAATGACACTTTTCTGTCCATTGATCACTTAAAAGCTAGCTTTCCTGGATATAATATTAAAGTGACTGTTGATAATCCAGTTCTGCAAATACCCCCCTTCAGGTGATCTCAAAATTTCAGTTTTTTCTGATCTGGTATTCTTGCAGAAGTGATGTTAGGTGGAATTGAGATCACTGGTTGAAGAGAGACATTTTGTTTTAAGAAAAGATGTTAATATTTAAGGTAGATGTATAACAGGGTTAACTGTACCTACAGTGAGGCTCAGGACCAGCTTCTGCTCTGTTCTGTTCTCTGGAACATTGATTGAATAGATGGGAAAAGCAACAGTATGAGATAAAATGAAGAGACATAGTATTCACTTCTGCATGATGCTATATAACCTCTTCAAGCTCAGCCTAAATATTTTTAATTACATAGCTTCTGTATGTGTTTCATTAAAGCAAGCAAAGAACAGCAATTTCAGTATCAGTTAAAACTTTAGCTTTTTGAAACAATTCAATTAAAATAAAGAATTAAATCTGAAATCCAATGTTGCTTATTCTAGTTAGAAATACTTTCTGAAATAGGATGCCTACCTTTGTGCCCGCTAAATGAGATTTACATATTTTGTTTCATTGTTGCTGTTGTCCAGCATTTTTAGACTTGATTGTTCTGTCCCTCGTGGTGGACCTCCTCATATACTTGAATGAAAGTTGAAATACATTTCCTTTTAAATGAGTCGATTTGACTGGCGAGGGAAAAGACAGCTCTTCCCTCTGCACCTGTTAGTTCTTATGGCTAAACTGAATCTAGAAAAACAGGAAGGTAGTCTTCCATGCTGCTTCTGAAACACTGCATGTAGAATATGTGCAGTGGAGATACTAACAGTATGTAATTGTATAAAAATAATATGAAGGTATTACGACAGGATAGCACACACCATTTACCATGATGAACTAGTGTTCATTTTCAGTTCATAGGTTAAAATACAGATATTCCTGTTTATGAAGAGCTGTTGGTCTTCCTACTGCTGCATATGTCCTGTAAAGAGATAAAGAGGTTACTGCTAAGGATGTCTGCATTGTTGTCTGAAGATAATTGGATAGCCATTGGAATTCACTGTGACTTGTTTCAAAGTTGGAGAAGCTTGGTAACATATGATGCAGAAGGCTATAAAAAATATTGAAAAGGAAGGGTAAACGGCTTCATGTGTTTGAACAGTTGAGAACATGGACATATCTTGTGTTTAAAAAAAGAAAAAAAGCATCAGTTCTAGAACAAAATCAAGTTACTACTGTTGAACAGTGCCAGTGGCTTTCTATTGCAACTTTACTCCTGTCCCTTCCATTTTCATTTACGAACTTTTTGTCTTCAGTGTTTTTTCCAGCTGGCTCTCAGCACTGCTCCTGGCTTTTCAAGCTATGTAAAGAAGACTTTTGGCATGCTTCTTGTCAAATATGTTTTCTTAAAATCTGCTTCATCAATTTGTCATTTCTTGCCTTATCCACATTTACAACTCTTTTTCCCCTAAAGTGTGAAAGTATGCAGTCTTTCTGTATAAACTTCTAAGACTGTATAGTATCATAGTGAATGTGTTGAAGCATAGCCTTAAATTATATGTTACAGGATAACTTTCCCTATAATGGGAGGTAAAGGAAAGAAAAGAAAAGAAGAGGATGCGAATGAAGAAAAACCCGAAGAAGCTAAAACACTGATTGTAGAGCCTCATGTCATTCCAAACAGGGGACCATATCCATATAATCAGCCAAAACGGTAATCATTAAATGAGAATTTATTTACAAATGGTAAAACATGCATAGTAGTTAATTTTCAGGAATACATGAAAAGTATTGTTGATCATAAATGAAATGTTACTTGTTTTCATTACCAAAGGAAGATTTGAATATGAGACTCTTTTGTTTCACATTTAAATCAAACTCTTCTATTATAATTTCTCTGTTAAAAAATTCCCTTGAAGAACAAGGAGACGTACTGTCTTTTGGTGTTGTGTCAGGACTTCGAATACTAGGAGACTCATACCTAAAGAATTCTACAGCATTCTTGGCAAATGACAAAAACGAAAGACAGACAGCCTTTTAGGTGGGATGATTTTGTTGTCATGTGGACAATATGATTTACTGTCTTGCTTCAAAATTGCAGGTTTATCACATCTATAAAGAAGATAGTTGTAATGTTGGTTTAGCTTATATAAGTTTGCAAGCATACAGTTCTGGAGAAACATCTAGCCAATTAATTTAAAGCAAACTTGGTAAAAACAATTGCTCTTATCAAAACAGTTGGCAAAATCTGTTAATTCTCTGATCTCGTTTTGCTTTGTTACAGCAATACTATTCAATTTACCCAAACTCAGATTGAAGCTATACGTGCGGGAATGCAACCTGGGCTTACTATGGTAAGAATATTTTTAAGGATTTTATGCTCTTACTTATGTGATTCTGGCTTTAGGCACATGCAGTGAAATACCAGTAATGCCTATTTGTGCAGCCTTGCTGGGGTCACTTCTAGTAATAGTTTCAAAATACAAAAAAAATTACATACAAATGTTGTTTACATATTACAAATGTTGAACATTTATACAAATGTTCAACATCCTCCCATCTTCACAGAATCATACAGAAACATATTTAATGTGTAACTGTATCCTGTGTTTCAGTAGCTGAAGGCTTTCTGCAACAACTGAGTTTACTTTTTCAGTGGTTGGATTGCTAGTTTTAGACTGCAGAGTTTGCATGTCTGTCATTTTTGGCTTGTTTAGATTACTTGCATCATTTTTAGTTTCATCTGTCTCCATTAAAGGAAATGAAATTCATTGAATTGTCTTCAGGGACCTGTTTTCTGCTCTCTTGTGTAATGTGCCATCCTTTTATATCCTACTGAATTCTAGAACTAAGAAGTTACAAACCAAACCAAACCAAAGTGGTGAATTTGTTGTGAAAATAATTTATCAGTGAATTTCTGCAAAGGTCTTTAAAATTTACTGCTCTCAGTTAGACTTTGACTACAAGTACCTGTCTCACAATGAAGTGCAGTCTATCCTTGTAGTGACGCAGTGGAATATTTGAATGACTTTTCTCGGATGCTTTTAATTTCTTCTTGACCTATATCGGCAATAATGCTAATTTTTATATTTTGTATTGGTATTCATTAGTATCATGCTCTTCCTTGTCACTTCCTCCTTATGTTTTATGACTCCTTATACTCTTTTAAGCTAGCACACAAAAGATGCAAGTCAAAGGAAAAAATAAACTTCAGTAGAATGGTATTGATTCTTGGCAGTGTTTTTGAGTATATGTTTTCTAGTATAGCACAGCAGAACTTTCTGGTTGTTACTAGAATTTCATCTTTAAGGACTATTCAGAAATGAGACATTTTGTGGGTTTTTTGTTGTGTTTTTTTTTTTTTTAATGCTGTGAAAATGCCACAGTGATAAATGCTTTAAATTTGGTTATTAAACAGTGTTGGAAGTGGTATTTTAGAATGATTTCAACTGCTGGATTTTACATAATTGGAGCATTTGTCCAAGAATACCCATGCCAATATATAGGAGTATTGTTTTATATCAGTAGTATTGTTAATAGGAGAGAAAACGGGGAAATTTTAAATTACTATTTTGTAGTATATAATTAACATGCAAAGTACTAGAGAGGAGGTCTCCAAGTCCCCTCGTTTTTATTTTTGTCTTATTTAAGTTTTAAATATCATTGCATGCTGTTATTATTATCATGTAATATTTTTTGATCCAATAATGGCCTTCAAATGCAAGTGTATAATGGATTATAAACTACCACCTACCTCACTTTTGGAGGGCTTTGAAGAAGAAAAGTAACTTCCTGTGCATGGTACTCCATAAATACTTGAGAGTTATATAGTTTGGACTTTTTACTAAAACTGCATTTGTTGATGTTTAAAGAAGTTAGAGGTCACAAGGGAAAACAAATGACAAAATTGGCTTTTTGGTTATGAGGATATCTGAAATTTTTTAATTCCTTTTGGTTTTGGTGGTGTTTTGTTGTTTTTTTTTTTACCTCACCACTATTTTGCAGGCAGAAGAAAGAAGGCAGACTGAGAAAACAGTTACGTGATACAGGCCTATGTTTTATTTTCTTTCATTATGTCATGTATTTCTGTGTAATATTTTTGACAACTACAGTGCTGCTTGCGTTTGAATCCTGTGATCAGTGAGATTCCTTAAAGCAAGTGTGATTTCGTAGCAATTTCTAATTTTTCGTAAAGACATGAAACCTGCCGTTTTGTGTTTCTTGATGTTGAACAAATTACACTGAGATGCTCTGTAATGCTTTGATACCTTTAAAACGTCTCAGGTGTCAATTTTTTAACATTGGTATAATTGAGCCTATAAAAATATTAACTGTCAGAATCACTTCTAGGTCATCAGTTGTACATTTTTGAGGTATATAAAAAGAATGGACTTTCTTTTTTCCCCATGTTCTTTTTATCTGCCTCACCTTATTCCCAGGCTCCCTGCCCCCCAAGTTTCCCCTGTGTGTATTCTGACCTGAGGCTAAACAGCCTTTTTTTCTCTGAGGTCTGTTTTCATGGGTTGCAAAACAGAATAATACTTCAGATGCTGGGTTACTATATTCCTCTTAGGCAGGAATCTGCTTAACTAATCCGAATGAAGTCTTTTATGATACATTGTATTTGTTCTTGAAGTTCACAAAAGGCAGAAATTAATTGCTAGATTACTGTATTCCTCTTAGGCAGGAATCAGCATTAGCTTAAGTCTTTCATGTTGTTTATACATGTTCTTGAAGATCATAGGAGCCAGCAAGCAATTTTACACAAAACAGAAGATATTTTTGTTTGTTGTTGTTAATGTATGATGTCAGTGTCCTGTGAGGTTGTTCTGTTTTCTTCCCAGCTGGGTATATTTCTGTATTCTGCGATACCCTGATAAATTGTGTGTTGATTTTTTTTGTTTGTTTGTTTGTTTGTTTTTAATTTATTGTTTTCCTTTGGTTTCAGGTAGTGGGTCCACCTGGTACTGGAAAAACTGATGTAGCAGTTCAGATAATATCCAATCTTTATCATAATTTCCCAGAACAAAGGACTCTGATAGTTACCCACTCTAATCAGGTGAAGTGTCAGTCATGTATGAAGTTTTCCTGTAATTAAAATCAAAACCAGTAGGTATTGAGATCAGTACGTTTGGGATTGCAGTTGCTTTTTAACAGTGAAAACTTCCGTTTGCTTGTATGTGGTCTTGCCAATTTCACAATGTGAAATTCATTTTTTTGAATTTCAGGTTTGTAGTCCTGACTTGAAGTACAAGTGGAGGTTGCTCTTATTTATTGTTTGCTTCATAGCTTGATGATCCAGTGCTTACAGGCTTACTCCTTTGGAATACACTGAATTGGACAGTTGATATTAACCTGTTTAAGGCAGAGGAGAGTTTAAGAACAGTTTATTGAAGAGTTTAACGCAGGAGATGTAGTGCATCTTAAAGTTGGGTTCAGCAAAATTTACTTATCCATGTGGAATAGTCACAGCACCTGCCAGTCAGTACCAGATCACACTTTTCTCATGTACTGTAAAAGTTGAGTCGTTTAGTTGTGTCACAAAATCCATGCTTGCAAAGTGTGCCTCTTGAGACAATTTATAAAGCTGATAGCTTTAGCAAGTAAATTAATTACAGGATAGAATGAATTTTAAAATTGTTTTAGAAATGTAAAATCAAATTTAATTATTATAAAGTATGAATACACAAGAGTTTTGGTAGGCTAATTTCCCTATTACCAAGATTAAGAGCTCTAATTCCAGTATTAACTTCGTGTTTTCTTTCACTCCCATTTATTCCAAAATAGGCATTATTTCCTAGCTGGCTTACAAGTAATTATTTAGTTTTCCCCTGCAAGAGCCTCTGAACTTATAAAAACTACCTTTTCTCCTGTTCTTGTCAATCTTTAGGCCTTGAACCAGCTGTTTGAAAAAATCATGGCTCTAGACATTGACGAGCGCCACCTTCTGCGTCTGGGTCATGGAGAAGAGGAATTAGAGACAGAGAAAGATTTCAGCAGGTGAGAAAAGAGGTGCTAATGATAAACTCATTTACGTAAGCATTGTAGCAAGAAGTATGCATTGAATCCATTCTGCCCCCCTTGTAAACGAGCAGGGAGCTGTGCTTGACAAGTTTTGCCTTTCTCGTAATATTGTTGAATCCCAGTAATGCAGAGTGCACCTGCTTTCAATACAGGGTTAAGTAATTTTGGTTATTATTTAGTGGAGAAACTGTGTTGCCTTTGAGAATCTAAAGGCAGAATCAGACATGTTCACAAACTCAACTGCTTAAGTAAAAGTAGCGCAATATATCTTGGGCCCATACACACTTTATAGAATTAATCTGTTTTGTGAGAGAAAGGTAGGTTTCTGCATTTGCGAATTTTTTGTACCAATATATCACTTCTACTGGCATGGTGAATATGCCATTAATAACTATAAACATGAAAGTAAACTTTCTGGTTTTAATTCTTTAGTGTATTGATTTAATGCAGAGTCACTTATTTCATTGGTAAATAACATGCTTTGGAGAATAAAAATATAAGAAAAGCTATTTATTCTATCAGTCCGAAGGCTGAAGAACCTGTGCTTGTAAATATTAGTATGTTTGTTATGTGTTAGTCCAATTGACGTCAGTAGGATTACGTACATTCATCAATGTAAGCAGGGGTATAATGGTCATGCACTGGAAATAACTGTCCAGTACTGGATTATTATAGCAGTACTTTGACTTCAAAAGCTGTAGTAAAAATTATATATAGTGACTAGAAACTACCTCCGTATGCATAGTTGTGTTTCATTTAGCAAAATGAATAAATAAATGAATAAATAAATACCTTGTGGGTTTTTTTTAATAAATTTGAATGCTTTAGCATGCTCAAATTATTACAGAAATCTGATAGCCAAAATCTTAGTGAAATGATGGCATGCCAGATATTTATTTAGTAATATCCAGAATTTAGTATTCACGGAACAGAAATGCTTATCATTAAAAAGTTTTCTTTGAGGCACTCTATATTGTCTGTTTTCGTTCTTTTCAAGGTAACTCCAGACTTATGGGACATTACTGCAAGTTCTAAGGGTTCTGGCAGTTTGGGAGGGAGGATGAGGGTTGAGCAAGATATATGAAGGTGGGCTGCATTACTGTGAGAAGAGAAGTTTATTTCTCATATGCCTGTTGTTTGTTTTGTTTGTTTGCTTCTGATTTCATATTTTTTCCTGAGTCAGGCTGCTTTGGAGGTCACAATACTGCCTAAAGAATTTCTTCTGCTTGCAAGCATAGTGTTCCTTTTTGCTCCTTCTGCAGGCACAGCAAAGCAGAACAGGGGTATAAGAATGTAAGGTGGATGGGAGCTGATTAAACTGGTATTGCCACTTAAACACAAAGGGAGTCACAGCCAAAGAAACTTTTGTAGCAATGAATGAGGGTGCCATAAAAGGAACATGTTGTGGGAAACGAGAGGACACTGGAAGTGTGAGGGGGGGAAAAAAACCCAACCAACCGGTTGCAGTCACTTGTAATTATAATGGATTGGATTTGTTGAAGATGAAAAAAAACTATTTAGTACTCCAAGGATCGTAAACTGTCATAGGTCCAAAGAAACTTGTTTTATTCCAGTTGTCAACAATATCATAGTCAGTTGTTTCTTAGTAAATTCAAATCTCCAGCTTTTAACTACTCTCACCCTTCTAAATAAGACAATAGAACCCATTGTGATTAGCAGGGATTGTGTCTGTTGGGTTTTGTTTTTGTGCTGAAAGCTTATTTTATTGCTAGTAAGCTTAATAAGAACTTAAAAGTTAACCCTTATTCATGAAAGTGTCGTACTGACATGTTTTTATTTGAGCTTTTAACTGTGTATGCATTTTTAAAAGAAAGTGTCCTGTTCCTCTCATTTCTTTAATTTCATCTGTTGGTATACTTCTTTAATCTATTTTCCTTTTTAGAAAAAGTGATCCATAGATTATTTTTTGTTGGTTTTGTACTGCTTCTGGGAGGGGGGGAGTGCATGGAATAAGGAAATTGATTTATAAAGAAAAAAAATTGGCCTTGAATTTTGTAAGAGGAGGAAGAATGGAAGGAGTAAGTTACAAACTAGTCATAAAAGTTATTCAGCAGGCAGCTAGGAGCACAGGGTGTGTCAGGTACGTACGTATCCTATATGTGGATGGAAACCTGTCTGTTAGGGTGGGCCAAGTGTTATTAGAAGAAATTTTGTATGTTGTCAAAGGAATTCAGCCTTGTCATACTGAAGCTCTGAGTATTGATTCTGTTTAGGAAGGTCCATAGACTTGTATAACTTGGTTGTATTTATGTAACGTAGTGGACTGGTAGCTCCTAAACAGTACGCTGTGATACTTTTTCTACTTTACAGATACATCACAGGAATGTTTTATTAACACTTAAGAAGCTTTTGTTGAAGTGATAGGATAAAAAGAACTGTACAGTAATGGCTCTTGTATGGCTTTGTAAATTGTTAGGCCTCAACTGATAGAAATAGTTAGCATGTAGTATATTCTTGGGTTTTGGGACTAGCTAGTAGTTGTGGGTTGTCTTTTTTGAGGGTGTATCGTGTTTGGTGTGTGAGCTCTCATGATACTTGAAATAAACTGGTTTGAATTAGCTACATTTAAATACAAATTATGTTGTTTAATCCATTTTGTAGGTATGGAAGAGTTAATTATGTGCTGGCTCGAAGACTTGAACTTTTACGGGAAGTTGGACGATTGCAAGAGAGTCTTGGAGTCCCAGGAGATGTTTCTTACACTTGTGAAACAGCTGGCCACTTTTTCTTGTACCAAGTAAGGGCTGAAATCCTTCTACAAAGACTGTATGACCTCAGTGTGTTATGAAACAATTTGTGAAAATTTGAGTGAATTTTCAAAATTGAGTCTAAAAAAAAAACTAAAGCAAACCGCATTTTCTTCAGTGATTTAAAATACAATAGCAGCTAAAGCTATAATTGCAGCATTAGTTACTTGTATTGCTATTGTTTTAACGCCTACATGATGACTCGCCAATTAAAGACTAGCAGTGCTGTTCTTCATGGCTGCTGGCAGAGATGCTAACCTGAAGTTTCTCCTTCAGATGGAAAAATATGTGGTCTGCTTTACATTTTGAACAAGCATTAGAGCAGTTACTTGATGGTCCTGCTTTAGAATGCTTTATGGCATATGAAATTAGATGCACAGTATAAAAAACACATTTTCTGTTGTCCTGGGTTCAGCAGTAGCAGTCATGTTTTTTCCTTTGTGGTAGCTGTGCAAATTGTATATTTGTGTATATTGTATATCCGTGATTTCCCTTGCATGTATTTTTCATTGATATGATCTATATTAGCAGTTGGTGTGGCTTAAACTGATTTATAGACTGGTACTTAGGATCAAATGCATACACGGTGTATGTTTTTACTGAAGTTACTCGGGCTAGCTGTATCGTGGGCCTAAGCCTTAAATGGACATTAGGTGTTGGAGAATTCTAGGAGCACTGGTAGAGCTCGTCTTTTGGTTCAATTTCCTCCCAGAGGAGTCCCACTTGGTATTTCAACCAAAGTACTGTAAGTGGAGGTAATCAGGAAATTCCTTCTGTGCTGGGTTTATGTGCAAGATTTTAATAGCTGTGGTCTGCAAGTATAATCTCTGAGAAGAGGCATGGGGCTGCTCAGTGCTGGACGCAGCCAGCTCAAATGGACCCACAGCTGGCTTAAACTGAGCCCATCAGTGACACTGGCGATGCCTCTCTAAAAACATCTTTGAGAAAAAGTCAAAAACCACTGTGCAGCACCTGGGGCAGAGAGGGGACTGTGGGGAGCAACCATATACACCAAGGTCAGAAGGAAAAGGAGGAGCAGGAACAGAGATTCTCCCGTACCTCATGGAGAGGACCATGGCAAAGCAGGTTGTCCCCTTCCAGCCCATGGAGGACTGTGTCGGAGCAGATAGCCACACCGCAGCCAGTGGAGGGCCCCATGCTAGAACAGGTGGATATGCCCTGAAGCTGCAGCCTGTAGAAAGCCCATGTCAGAGCAGTGGAAACGTGTGAGGTGGCAAAGATGCAGTGCTCCAAACTTGAGTGACAAAGCCCCATTCCTCCTGCACTGTTCAGAGTGGGGAGGAGGTAGAGTTGGGAACGAAGGAGTGAAATTGAACCTGGGAAGAAAGAGGGGGCGGAGAAGAAAGGTGGTTTTGGTTCTGTATGTTTCTCACCATTGTACTCCACTTGCAATTGGAAACAAATCAGTTTTCCCCAAGTCAAGTCAACGCACCACAGCTTCAAAACCATTGTCCTGATACAAGCTCAAGTGCCAATTTAGACATACCTTGCTTTTGTGATAATTTTTCTTAATATTGTGTGTGCAAGGCTACACCTTGCCAATGACTTTGATATTAAAACATGTCAATATGACACTTCTGTTTGTCATAGGTAATGTCTCGTTGGGAGGAGTATATCAGCAAAGTCAAAGTTAAGGGTGGAAAAGTGCCAGATGTTACGGATGTCTCCAGTTTCTTTCCTTTTCACCAGTATTTTGCAAATGCTCCTCAACCAGTTTTCAAAGGCAAATCCTACGAAGAAGATATGGAAATTGCTGAAGGGTGTTTTAGACATGTTAAGAAAATATTCACTCAGCTTGAGGTAAGGCATGAAACTGTTAAAGGTAAGTGGATCTGGCTAATCCTATAAAAAACTTTACACAGTTCCAAAATTCTCCTTTGCCCTGTATCCTCCAATGAGTATGTAACTCTAGGCAGCCTTATTAGCTGCTAAGGTGAGAATTTCCACCTTTGGGTAATACTGGCATGTTTCACAACAGGCACAAAAGTCTAATTTGTTTTATTTTGATCTTAGGAAGCAGCCATTCTGGGTGTTCCATTTTCATTGATAAGGTTACTGGGGTTGGTTTGCCTATCACTGCTCCTCTCATCCTCACAGGGTCTTTGCATTTCCAGTGAGTTGTCTTTAATCAGGTAACCTAGAAGTAACTTAAATGGACTATCTTCTGTTTTTCCCAGAATTGCTTTAGAGGCTTTTAAAAGTCTGGGTAGAGGTGGTCTGTGTATCATTTAGTCATATTAACTTAAATGGTCTTCTAATACTGAATTTGATGTGGTGTTATAGTGGAAAACAAGAAGATACAGTACAACAGAATTTTGGGGGATTCTGAGGGGGTTCCTCAGAATTGATTGAATAATTGTCTGCAAATTTGTATATGCCCACAGATTGCAGAATTATTTGTGTATTTAAAAGATTGTTTTTTGAAATACTGTGATTTCCAAGTTTAGCATTAAAAATTATTCAAAATGGGATTCCTAGCAGTAGGTACCTTCAGAACTTGTCTAATTATATTAAGAAGGTGGCCAGATACTTGAAGTGAATACATTTTATAAGGAAAATTTTTTTGTATTCTGACTTTCACGGTTTTCTTCTCTTGCATAGGAATTCAGAGCATTTGAACTTCTCCGCAGTGGCCTGGATAGATCCAAATACCTGTTGGTGAAAGAAGCAAAAATCATTGCCATGACTTGTACTCATGCTGCTCTGAAACGACACGACCTGGTTGAATTAGGTTTCAAAGTAATGACTTTTTTGTTTTGGTCCCCACCCTCTCTTGTATAAACTTTTTTGTCTGTACTAAATCTAGGCAACTAGGTTATTTTGAGTTGCTTTTTTTGTACTAGTATGTTTCAATTTTTAATTTTACTGAAGAAAAAAATAAGTAAAAAATAAGATCACTTCTAAGTTACTTATATAAAAAAGAAAGCTTAATAGTGTAGATGATGATCTGCAGTGATATGACTGAGTAATAAAATAAAGGCAGAAAAAATGGCCCTTATAACTTCACCTAAAAAATGAACGATTTGATGAAAAGGTACTATGATGCAATGCTGTTCTCACTCTGCAGTATTAGCCATAGATATTAATTTAGTACAGACTTGTATGTGACAGTAGCCAACCACAAATAACTTTTAGTATTATTTTTCTCTGATAATGCCCTGTATTGGATCACAAAAGCACTCTTTTTTTGCTTCAGTGCAAGGGTACCAACATAGTTTGATCTACTGCAGAAAGCTTTTCTGGATGGGTTGTGTGATGTGGGAAGCATGTCGTGATTCAGTCATGGATTCCTTCTGAATGTAAGCCCTGGTTGGTTGGTACAGATCTGCTATTGATGTGGTAGGATTTCACCCTCTGACATTTAGTTTTGGTAATACTGATATTTTGCCTATGAGGTAAAATCCTGCTGTAACTGTTCCACCTTTCAAAAATCAAATAACTAGTTGATGTCTTCTTTTTTCCAGGCTGAATAACTATAAATTTGTATTACTTGCCTGATGGACGTATCTCTTTGTTTCATTTTTCCCCTCAGTATGACAACATCTTAATGGAAGAATCTGCTCAGATTCTGGAGATAGAAACCTTTATACCTCTCCTGCTGCAGGTTAGACCTGAATCATAAAATATATTACAAAAAATGTTAAATGAAAGTCTGTGAACAATACAGAATATTTAAAGGAAAATACCTTGTGCAGAAAGTAACCTAGGACTGATACTTGCCATGTGAGTGAACTTTCACTTTGCTCTACAAAGTTGTCTATCCTTGGGTTTTGATGATATGGAGTAAGCTAATAGTTCTAGATATATTGGTTTTATTGACTAAGTAGTAGGATTAGCAGGCTTTTGTTTTGAAAATAAAAAAGTGAAGATACTTTATGTAAAGTAGTCCTGGCTTTGTTATATTCTTTGTCATTTAATAGTGATTATTTCTGATTGTAAAAATTGTTAAATTTTAAATAAGGGCTATTAGGTATGGGGTTTGTTTCCCAAAAGCGTAAGGTTTACATAATTGCTCTGTGTCATCTGTCTGTTTATGGCGTTTGGTCAGTTTCAGTCAGGATTAAGAGAGAGAGATACCAAGCACAGACAACTTCAAGGAAAAGAGAAGTTGAGGAGAGGAGACCTTCTAATTGACATTACAACTCCACAGAAAGAAAACAAATGATTACTGGCTCTTCTTTTTCCCAATAATTATACCTTTTATCTGATCAATTGGTAAATATTTAGCCCAGAATAAGCTGCAGCTTGTGCTGTGTTTGGAAAGCAAGCAATTAGTAGATAAAGGAATGCAGATGTGATACAGTTGAATGAAAGTCTTGCAGCTGGAAAGGTACTGCTAATGCAGGGAAGGAAGGAAGGGAACTGGAGCTAACATGGAACAGGGGATGTTTATAGCATAGTCTTTAAGAAGCCAGGTAGCAATAGCTCTGTTATGTAAGGGATTTTTGTAATAGATGGCCAACACTGCTACTTCTGAAGTTGAGTACCTTTCCTTAAAAACGTTTGTGCTGATCATTCTAAGCTCAAGATGCTTGGACTTTCTTGACATTTTTTTTTGCCTCCAGTAAGGATTGTGTGTGGTTGCTTCTAGCAACTCCTCTTTTAAGAGCTAGGGGATTTAATAAGTAAAGTAAAATGTGCTTCTTGCGCATCTGTCGCTCTGCTATCTCTGTAATCTGCAGTCATTGTAAGATAAAATTTCACCTCTGGAAGTATGGCCTCCCTCAGGAGCTCTGGGCAAACTGTACCTGTGAATCAGTTCGACGTGTGGAAAGTCAGTAAAACTGAAGACAGTCTACTGTTGATTTGATTCTTACTCTAGTGGCTTTCTGAAAAATATGCAGTCTGCATTTCATACTCTCAAATTAATATTCTCATATTGTAAAATTAAGTTTCGTTTCAGAAGCTTTGCCTGGAGCAGATACTTTCATTGAAAAGCAATAAATAAAGTCTTCTAAGAAAACCACATCCAAGCTTTTTGATTTTCATTCTAAAAGAAAATGTGTATTGAAAAAGGCATGATAGAAATTCCATGAAATACTGGATATATTTGTAATTGTATCTCATAATTTTTCATTTTGCTCTGTTCCAGTGGATATTAGAACACAGTTGCAGGAAAATAACTATGGGCCTAGCACACAAAAAAATTTGCATGTCTAAGTTGCTTTTAAAGCCCAACTCCTGTTCTCAGTTGCTGTTTAACTCCATAGGTTTTTAGATTTTAGGGATAAAAATGTAGTACTTTATACCTTGATGTGTTTAAAGACTGATGACTTTTGATAATTCTGAGCAGGCAGGCAACTAATTCACCCTATAAACCCCAAATACTGCCTGAACTCTGAACAGGAACACATACTTGTCCATCTCATTTGGGTGTCTGGAGAGCAAACCACTGGAGTGAGGCTTCTCACAAATTGTGACACAACATTGTACTGCAGTGCTATGTAATGATGAAATTCTGTATGGTTTTTACAATGCTTTTCATTGATTATGAAATTACTAGACTTAGTGAAATAAGCATCTTAGAGTGTTTTTTAAATGGTTGAGTGAACATTGAATAACCAGGTGCATCAGGCTGGTGAGGGGAAGTAAGTGTACATGAACAATACATAAGCTGACTGTTTCATCATAGAGTCATATTCTGTGTGTTATTCTGTGACGTTATTTACAATAGCTATCAAAATAGACCTTGAAAATTGAGGATTGTTTTGTTTTCTTTTTTAACAAAACCTGAAGAGCTAGGCTTACAGAGTAGTACTTGATTTCTTGCACTTACAATTCAGAATAAGAAATTTTTAAAAACAGAGTTCTTTGCAGAGCTCTTTGTGATTGAAATGGCTGATCAGAGAAGAATAATTATATAGACTAATTGGTCTTCTCAAAAGCAGTAGCCTTTTGGGAGGGGATAAAATAAAATCTTTTCCCTTGCCATTGAAAATAATTTCCATCCACTTTCTTAGTAAGGCATCTTTCGGCGTGGTGAGCTGGACAGTCCAGAATTCAGTTTTCATTCTTTACTCTCTTATCAGAGAGGTCTTCATTTCTTTTACACTTCAGGATGGCAAGAAAAGGAACTTTAGTCTTTGTCTTGAGTAGTGCTCCTATGGAGAAAGGGAAATATCACAGAAGTGTATAACAAACATGGCTCTGAATTGTAAAACTTGCAGGTGAAAATTTCAGAATTCCAGTTCTACACATCTGTTCCCCTTTTGTCCCTATGTTACAATGTGCTTCCATGAGTTCTGAAATCATGAAAGAGAACTCATGGGCTCAGCAGTCATTGCTGAGTTCTGTCAGTATGTAATTTAGGTAGACAAAGGATGATGAGGAACTGGAAAGAGATATACCAAACATACTGAAGAGCATTCAGTCCAAGGGCCAGGGTGGGGATTTAATTAGAGGCTCGTTCTGGTCATGGAAGAGGCCATGTGAGAATTCCAGAGCTAAACAGGTGAAACGCATAAACTACAGAGACACTTGAAAGGTTGGCTCAGTTTGTACCTCAGGTACATGAGCACTAAAACTGTTTCAGATGCTGCAGGTAGTTCGTATTTGCTATCTTGGAATAAAAAAAAAAATAAAAGGACTATTGTAGGGTAACACTACTGTGTTGAAATCAGATTTTTTTTACTATAACTTCTATGTATTCGTGCTTTTTTCCCCTCCTTTTGTGTTCTGACATGTTAACTTTGACTTTTAAAACAACGCAATATGGCATACTGATATTTCTCTACTATTTTAGTAGATAAACTTACCTGTTGCTTTATAACAAACAGGAGTTTATGTAAAGCACTGCTTCTTTTTCTGGTAGTAGATTAGAAAGAAGCTGTAATACTCTTTAAAATGACTGCAGCTCAGTGTAGCTTAAGAACAAATGTTGAAATTTAATGCTCAGACTAAGCCAGTTTGACTGCTAATGTGTTGTAATTGAGTACCTCAGTTACAGTGTAACAGTTACAATTCTGTAATTGTTTAATTCTAGAACCCCCAGGATGGATTCAGTCGTTTGAAGCGGTGGATTATGATTGGTGACCATCATCAGCTGCCACCAGTCATTAAGAACATGGCATTTCAAAAATACTCCAACATGGAGCAGTCTCTTTTTACACGATTTGTTCGTGTTGGAGTGCCAACTGTTGATTTGGATGCTCAGGGAAGAGCAAGAGCAAGGTGAGACATACAAAATGTCATGTCTATCCTATAAGAAAATACAAAGATAAAAAGAGAAAAAGTACACATATACTTTTGGAAACTTTATTTTATTGTTAGGACAGGAGTTTGCAAAACTGCTTTGCTGAAATACAATCAGATTTATTTTCCTTTTTTGATAATATAATAGTACTCTGCTATTTTATGAGTACTTTAATGAAAATCATATTTAAAGGAATTTTAGTAGTCAAATTTTGTTGGTTTTTTCTTTACAGGTGAAACTTTTTAGAAGCTTCCTTTTCTGAACTCATATATTAAATATATTTAAGGCCAAATAAATACATTATTTACTTAGAGTTGTATATATAATATTTCCCTTAAATTCTGCAAAAGAGTTCTTTTCTTGTACTATTTCAGCAGAGCTTCAGCTTTTATTGAAGACAGTCATGTTGTCCACCCAAGAGTGTTAAGCCTTTTTTATATATTTAAAGAGATACAGCATCTCTGTAGTACGATAACTTTTTTTATCCATGTATTTGTCACTTTACTGTGGTAATGTAGGTGTTTTATTTATTGTGTAAATTGCATATTTGCGGGGTTGTAGTAAGAAGGTAAAATAAAACCAAAGAGAAAATTACTCCATATAAAATCTTGCTACTCTAAGTTTAGTTTTAAATCCTGATTTTTTTTTTTTTTTGTCATAAAATGAAGGCGAACTTATTTTTTTTCATGTAGGAATTGTTGGGGGTGGTAGAATATTATTTTCTAGTCATGAAAAACAGTTCAGTCTGATTTTAAAAATGCAAATTATAGCTGAGTATGGTGATAAGTTTATTTTGCCATCTGCTATTTTGCAACATCTCTGCAAATTTCTTAGAGCAGAATTCTATCACTTCATAAACCATTTCATCATCTAGGATTTTTTCCATACCTTCCTATGCTTTGTCATAGGTAGCTTCCCATGAACTAACTGCTACTTTACCTGGTCTGGATTTTGTTGTATGTTTGTGAATGAGGCATTTTGGTTATATTACTGTCTCTATAAATACCAGAGGTGATTTAGAAATGGGTAGATATCAGTAGCTTCCCTTCATGTCCCATGTTAATATATGGCAGTATACAAAATAAGAAAATTCATTTCTTTTTTGCAATAAGAAACTTTACAGCAGATAATGCTGAAAATCCTTTTTCTCCTACTCCTTTTTTCTTGTGAAGAAGCATTAATATTCCTTAAGTTTTGTTACCCATGGAAATTCCTACTAGATTTCTTTGCACAATATGTACCCTTCAGCGTAAGTCTGATCAAGTAGAACAGTCTCAAGGCTGCGTGTGCTGCACTGAAGTAAAATCTAAAGCTTTCTGTGAGACATAACCAAACAGAGTTTAAAAACTTAATATTGTTGGATAGCTTGTACAAGTGCTTTCGTTTATATACATATAGCTGTCCAGCAAAATTATTTTTTCAATTGAAAACCTGCAGAAACATTAATGTTGAAAGTAATGAGGTGTGTGCATTTGAATTGTGTTGAATGAGTTGAATTGAGGGTTTGTCTCTGTGTGTTTTTGAACAGTTTATGTAACCTTTACAACTGGCGTTACAAGAACCTGGGTAACCTGCCTCATGTGCAGCTTCTGCCAGAGTTCAGAACAGCCAATGCTGGGTTTTTGTACGACTTCCAGCTTATAAATGTGGAAGATTTCAATGGTGTGGGAGAGTCTGAACCCAATCCTTATTTCTATCAAGTAAGAGAAATGCTACATATATACTTCATTTAACCTAGATATCACATGTTAAATCTGCCATGAAGACAATCAAAATACAGTAAATGGATGTTTTAATTCATGTTCTCAGATAATTGAGTCATGTGTGTGCATGATTCTTTTTCTCCTTTTAATGAGTTTTCAGTGTTGAAAATGGTGATATGTTTTGCTTTTTGCTCAGAGTGATTGACTTTACTTGAGATCTGTGTTTTCTCAGTGTTTTAGGAGGAATGAGATTTGGTGTATAATTCGTTACAAAACATTGTTTTTGGCCTATAGCAAGTTAAATACTGCTGTGATTCAGCTGTACTGCCATGATAGCTTGGTAGCATTTCCCCTGTACATGAAGGATCAAAGATTGAAATTAACATGGAATTAACACCTTAAATTTTGCTTAAAATTGTGAAAAGCAAACAATGTGCTTTAAGATGATAATACTCATGGTCATTTTTTTCCCCTGTTAAAATCATTGAGTTATGTTTATGTATTTTTTTCAAGATATGTATCTGTATGTTTTGCTTGAGTTCCTCCCACTTTTTTGTTATGCAAACTAATGTGCTGTTAGTGAAGAAAACGGTGGTGAGCCATGATCCACTTTATCTTACTTCTAGGTTGAGGGCACAGTTGTTTGGAGGGAAGAGTTTCTTTTTATTTTGTTTTTATGCTATATTTGTTTTTAACAATGTAATGTACAAGTGTTAAAAAGTTGTCCTGTGGAACAGGAATAGTTGGAGTTACTGCCTTAAAAATGGGATTCTGATAATTGAGAGTCTGAGCACTGGTTTAGACCACTCCTGGGCCAAAGAAGACTGGGAACATTCATGGAAGAACACTGACACCTTTATCATTACAACAGCGATTTCATGAGCAGGCTCTTCTCATATTTCCTATAGGGTTTTGGGAGGTTTTTGCAGGGGAGAGGGACTTTGGGTTGTTTTTGTGGTCTTGAGGATTGAGAGATACTAGTAGAGTATGGTGGTGGCATTGCATTGTTTTCCATGAGGTAAGATTGCAGCCATTTATTATTTATTTATGAATTTGGGCATTTCTGTCTAGACTTGGAGGATTAAAATTTGTAGAATAGTTTTACACCCACAGGTGTTTGATATGCCTGGCAACTGCATTTTCCAAGTAATGCAGAGCCCACTTAATAAGAAAAAATAGCCTAGTCAAACATACGCCAAGTAGGGATAAGATTCCCAGTATAAATAGAGCAGGAGTAAATGTCAGTAATTGAGAGCAACTTTTTAACACGAAAGATAATTTTTGTTGACAGAAAACGGATTTAAACAGGCTGTGAATAACTTTAGTCCGGAAGTTTTGTCCTGTTTCAAATAGGCAGTAGAGTGATGCTTTGGGAAAGACATTGTTCATTATCAGTAATGGCACAGAAAAAATTGCGGTATACAAAATGTGAAATAACAACTGGTCATTTGAAATTGAATAGGCTTGGCCTGCAGTAGAAATAATCAGGTTTGATAATCCAGATGTCTGTCTCCTAATTAATAGTCAAAAGGAGTTTAGTTACTCTAGTTCAACTAGTTCTTACTTTCAGCTTACTCGAGAGTGAGTCATTTTCAGGCTTACTTGAAATGATGTTGTATTGGTGCTAAGTGTTTTTTAAACCCTTGTATTTCAATGCAGGTATCTGCAGATTACCATCTTCTAATACTTCTTAACAAATAATAATTTCACAGTTTTACGTAATGTGGGACTTTGGCATGTGACTTTTTAAGAAGGAAAAAACCAAATACTCTTGTTGATTGAGCTGTGTAATACAGTTAAGTTGGTAGTTCCTTTTGTATATAAGGCTATAAGTACATAAATAAGTACATATTTAATTTTTAATGTGTAAATATTTAATGATTTAATTTTTAAACAATTACTATTATCTTTAACAATTATTAAACCCTTAGAATTTAAACTTGTTGAAATAACTGGGAGCTTCTGGGTAAATACTGGAAAGTGTCAATCAATGACTAACAATAATATTGATGTAGATATTTTCAGCAGTTGTCTCAAAAGGAATCAGAATTAAGTTATTAAACCTATTTGAGGTTCTTTAATCCTTTCTTTGCTCACTTAATAAAAGCCATTTTGAAACATCAGATCTAGAGACATTTTAGCTCTGAGATTTTTCTGATAATGTCATAGGTACTACTCTTTCCAACTTTACAGATTGAGTAATCCCTTCTTTTTTCTTTAAGAATCTTGGTGAAGCTGAGTACGTTGTGGCACTCTTCATGTATATGTGCCTGCTTGGTTATCCTGCAGACAGGATAAGCATCCTGACAACATACAATGGACAGAAACATCTGATCCGTGATGTCATTAATCAGCGGTGTGGAAATAATCCACTGATTGGACGGCCAAATAAGGTGACTTTGAAAATATGTTGGTCATTGCAGTGATTCTGGTTTGTTTGGTTTTAAATTGTCATATTATACAGCAGGCTAATCTGTGAGATGCACAGATTTCTGTGCAAGTATTCCCTGGTAACTACACATTTATTAACTTACATTCTATGGAATTTTGTAAAGTAGTGCCCTTGTTTCTGCCTGTTTATAATTTTTCATACAAAGTGAAGTCCATGAAGTTGGAAAAGGTATAGACCACCAGAGACAGAATAACTCTTTTGTCATTTATTTTGTTCTCAAAACCCACAAATCCCCAAACCCACAGCTTTTAACAAGATCCACCCAGAGTAGAAATGCTTTGATAAAACATATGATGGATGACAAATCTGATGAAACAAAAAGTATAGTTGTAAAAATCTGGTGCTAATATGAAGGTTTAAACTCTATAAAACTGATGGCTTTCCACAGTCTTTTGATATTAGCATTCCACTGTTATCTATCTGTGTTGAATAAAAATGTAAAAGAAACAGGATACAGTCAGACAAAAGCTGCTCCCAGCATTTCCCAAAAGGAACAGGCTGATGATTTTTGGTTAGCAGCCAGCTAGAGTTAAACCATTTTCTTTTCCCATTTATTGCAGTCTCAGTCCAAAGTTGATATTAAAATTTTGGTGTCACATTTTAATTGAAATGGCAAGATTTAAGCTATGGAGGTTTTTTTCTTGATTTTTGGTTCTCTAGGTAACAACTGTGGACAGATTCCAAGGTCAACAAAATGATTATATTCTCCTTTCACTAGTGCGTACCAAAGCTGTAGGCCACCTTAGGTATGTGACAAGATACTCTTGTAATGTCATTAAACTGCATGTTTTCTGTATCAGAAAGATTGTTTATAATACATTACATAAGAATGTTCAGTTATTTGCATGTGTAGTGGAAATGAAGTTTAATACTACGTAATGAATGAAGTTCAGACGCACTTCTTTTTATAACTGTCTGGTACCCTCTTCACAACCACTTTATCATTTAGTAATGGCTGTTACACTATAATTAGTTTATATTACTGCTGATAGGCTGAACTTGGTTTCACCCTTGTAGAACGATAGGAATGTAATACTTGTTGAACAAATGCAGGCTTAAATTTTCTCATGGATGCTTTCCTGTAAGTGAGCTTTTAATTTGTTTTTGTATCAGAAGATTTTGATCACTGCAGTCACACAGATCATCTAAGTAGTTAGATGAGTTATCAGACTCATGTTTACTCATTCAGAGATACAGAAATGCTATTGTGATTTGTTCTCAGTGTTAACCTGTAAAGTCTAGGGAAGTAGTAAAGGGTGATTTTTTTTTAATTATTTTATATCAACCTTTCCTTTTACCAGTGTGTTAAACTGATATACATACATACACACACAGAGATCTATATAATGTTTCTAGGATTTGGAAGTTATTGAAACATATTTCCTTTATTTAAGGCTTCTGTATACTTCTAGTTATTTTTATTGCAACTATGTCATCAGTAAAAAAGAACATAATTGGGTTGGTTTGTTTTCTGAAGGGATGTCCGACGATTAGTCGTTGCCATGTCAAGAGCTAGGCTTGGGCTTTATATCTTTGCAAGGGTATCACTGTTTCAGAACTGTTTCGAGCTAACTCCAGCTTTCAGCCAACTCACAGCTCGACCGCTTCACCTCCATATCATTCCCACGGAATGTTTTCCAACAGCAAGAAAGGTAGGAACAGCTGCTCTGAATTTTGTGGTCTGTAATGGGAGTGCATGTGTTTGCCCACTTTTAAGTGGGCTATAAGAGGTGGAACTGCCTTCTTTCACAGAATCACAGAACAGTCATGGTTGGAAAGGACCTTAAGATCGTCTAGTTCTTTGCTAAACCAGTGCCTCTTTGATAGTTATGTCCCTAGAGTTAACTGCTGTCATAGTACGCACAGGCTGGTTTTAGTTGATTTTTCCACAAAATGTAGTTATCAATATAACTGTGCCTACTTTTTCCTAAATTCTGCCTATGTTAAGTGATTCAATGTTTTTCTCTTCTGAGAAATAGGTTTTTAGTGTGTTACATAATTTTGGTCTTGTTACAAAATAATCTTACTTCTCAAAAAGACCACAAAGCTAATAATTTCTCATTGAAAGAGGTAAAATTCTGTTTGAGTAATTCAGGATAACCAGTTAATTTATTTTTATTGGCCCAGAATTGCAAAACAGTTTTGTTGCTGAGCTAGGTTCATAAATATAAAAATATTATTTGTAATACTGCATTAGATCTTGAAGGAAAAGGTTTTGTTAAGCATCTAAGCAGAGTAGGATGCTAAATGAAGAAGCAGAAGAAAATCTGCTTTGCTTTATGGAGCTTTAAGGAGTGCCTATATGAAATTCAAATTCAATTACAGATCTTTCCCTGGTCTTAAGTGTTATTGACAAGTCTGGGAAGGAGCCCTTCACTTGAAACTTTGGGGTCCACTGTGCAACAAAGAATGAAGTATGCATAGTAAGTGAGGGTGATCCAGAAGGAGCTGGACTGTGGTGGACAAGTAGGCCAAGTCCTAATCTGATTGTCAGCTATTTGGCCTTTAACATGCTAAATGACTCAAGTCCAAAATGAATTATGGAGTAAGCATCAAAACCCAGCCTTCCCCAGCCCTTGGGCTGCAGTATCATGATTAATCAATTATTAATCTAAAGAGTAAGGCACTTAGTGTCTTTCCAAAGAGTTCAGGTTTGTTTGTTTTTTTTTCTTTAAAAAGTATTTTTTAATTTTGGGGGGTTTATGTTTTCTAACATAGTTAAATAACTTTTGAGTAATGGTTGTTTTGCTTTGTTGTCTACTTTTTTTTCCCTTCTTAGAATGGAGAAGGACCATCTCACCAAGTACATGTTATTAAGAACATGCCACAGATGGCTAACTTTGTGTACAATATGTATATGCACATGATACAAAGTACACACCACTATCAACAGGTAAGGACCTTTTAACTCTTGGAAGGTGTGCATTTAAAATAAAATTGATTTCTCGTAAGTGACAGATGCTGTTGAGGTTTGAGTCTGTTCCTCAATATCAAACTTTCATATATTAAATTTCTTTTTCTCTGCAGTTCTTACCCAGTGAATCTTGCATTTATTTTTTTTTCTCTTCTGAGAGGCATAGCTTCAGCCAGATTTGAAGCATTTTGCTACCCAGAAAAAGCCTTTGCCAGGTAGACAGGATACTTACTATTTTGGGGAAGTGCTCTAATTATGTCTGCTGTAAAGAAAAGGGGATAGGGAAAGAGGAGTGACACTATTAAAATCTCGTCTTCTTGTAATTGTATATTTTTAAAGTATGAAAGCTCACACTGTTCTGTTAGAAACCCAGCCCTATGACAAGATTTGCTCTGGAGTCAGTTTATCTAATATAGTTGGAGATCTTTCAACCATGCGGATTTTATGTGATGAAGCCTCAGCGGACTATGCAGTTGGTCACATTCAGATGCAAATTAATAGCCCTGTCAAAACAGACAAGGTCATGAAAAGCAGATGGTAGTCTCTAAAATTTTACTAAAAGATGGGTTTGCTTGACACCTTATCAAATATGGACCCAATCCTGTGCTAATACCAGTTATTCTTTTTAGATTTCTTATTTTGTCTATTGCTAGCTAAAATTGGTTACAAAACTGCAGCTTTCCTACTGCGGCAATGAATCACATTCTCCTTGCAGGCAAAGCCAAAAAAGTGAACAAAAAAAAAAAAAAATAGGAAAAGAAAATGCAGGTATTAAATTTCTTTTAGCCTATATAGTACAACATGGTATTTTTCCTTTTCTTTGACACTGGACTTAAGAGTAGTAGTCACAAAGCACAACATCTAACTGAATCACTGAAGAAGTCTTGAGTTTGTATCAGGATCCTAAAGGATCTTTGGTTTTGAAATACGCTTTTTCTGTGAACAGATGGATTATAAAAAACAGTATGGTAACTTCAGAGTCTATAAAAATGCTTTTCATATCTCTGCTGGTAGTCATAATTGCTTCAAAGATTTGCCTGTGCTTGTCAGAAATTTGTAATATTAGTGTCATCTAATTGAAGATAAGACATCACTGTAATTAAACACTCAATTTGTCATGTGAAGCTAAGTTGCCTTTAAGGAAAACAAAACTGAACAGTCATCCATAGGAGGTTTATTGAGCTTTCGTTTCATTAAAACGCTTCATAGTATTCCAAGGAAATACCCATCCTGTCATTAAATAATGTAAGGCTGCAAGAAGTATGAGGGTTTCTGTACAGCCTGGAGTTGTATAGCTGTCATCCATACTCTTCAGCTAACTGTATGCTTGGTATTACTTTTTTTCCAAAATCTGTAATACAGCTACCATTGCTGCTTATAATATTTTGCCAACTAATTTTTGTTTGCAGGCAAAAGACTTCGAATTTATGGATGTACTATGTGAAAAAATACCTAACCATTGCTTAAAGTGTTACTGGAACTTGTGTTGTTCCACATTTACAGCTGTCGGTGCAGCTCTAAGTACAGATAATGTTCATATAGCATCCTGTAAGATGTTTCAATGGGAAATTACTGGAATGACTTGTTGAAAACAGGCTTATTAATGGCCTCAAAAAGCAAGTTAAACATATCTAGGAGTTAGTAATAGATGAGATTACGGTAGAAATGTGATTGTTGCTCCAAGTAGGGATTTACCATAACCCTATTACTTGTCTGGCTGTTTGGGATACTGTGTTTGATAGCCTTTAATTGCAAGTACTGAGTTTTTAACACCCTCTTTCAGGCAAAAAAAATATGTCTAATAAGACTGTTTTGGGGTTTTTCTATTTTCATATAGGAGTTAAGTGCCTACAGGTGATTAAGGATTCTAGATTGTCTTTGTTGTTCAGTTGTTATCTAATGCAAAATCCTAACTACAAGGTGAACAGTTCAAGCTAAAAAAGGAATATATGCCAAAATAGATGCATTTCTAAGAACTGAAAATCCTTTATTTTTTTAATCATCTAGCGTTTACTGCCCCCACCTGCCATGGTTGAAGAACCAGAAACTACTCAAACTCATGAGTCTGAGATAGAAGATGAAGTGCAAGATATGCAAGAAGATGCAGCAGCAGAAGAAAATAAAGCAGGAGAAGAAATGATAAAGGAAGGAGAATTGAAAGTGGATGAAGTGGATGAACATCGAACAATGCCAGAACACCCTGGAAGAGACAGTGATAGTGGAGACAGTGAACCCGAGAATGAGACTGAAAAGTGATTCACATGATGTTTGTCCTCTACATGTTTTGGTAAACAGATAAGGGAAAAGACATTTAGGAATAAAATTGCTAATTTTACACTGACTTTTTAAAATGTCTGCTTGTGTAGTGTGACCTGTTTGGTATATTTTTCATGTTATGGACAAGCAAAATATTTGGCAGAAGTTCTACTGAGTTCCTATCAATATCAGTAATGTAATTTGTTTGATGGCCTCAAATGATACACAATTTCCAATTTCCTTTTCATAAGCTATTCAGTAAAGATGCTTTTTATACCAGTTTTGAATATTTGACCTTTAATTCAGTCACTGAGTTGTCCATTAAATCTCACTGGTTTAAGTATATTCAATACTAGTCAGACACTCTATAGTTTCCTTAATATTCTGTAATGGAGAATTCCATGTACAGAGCTGTGCTGATATACACTGAGGTGGTATTTTAGGCATAGGCTCAAGTTCAGTAAGATATTTAATAGTATGTCTATGAGACGTGTGAATTACAATGGGACTTTAAAATGTTCAGAAGTTTTATTGAATTGTGACCTCAGCAGATTCTCAAAATTTCATAAGGCTCAGGTACTTATAGCAATTTCTCACTGTTGACTTCTGATGCTGTTTGTAATTCATAGATGAATTAAGGATTCAGCTTTTCAATAGCACTGCTTTTTAAATTAGTGTATTGAAATAAATTTCTCCTGCTGTAACAGGGCACAGTAATTGCCCAGGATAAAGCCAAAGAGGAAGAAAAATCAAAGTAATTCCCTAACTGCAGGATTTGCAAAATATACAATATTGATATTAATGACATCATGGTGGAGTGGTTTTTCTAGGGCGACTTCTGAGTGTACTTCTTTCATAAAGTAATCAGAGAGAGTTTTTTCCCCAGGTTCATTAAGAATCTTGGCAAATTGCTCAATGGTTCAAAGAGACTTTTGGATTTCCAAGTGGATTTTCAAAGCAGTAGCCTTCCCTTTCCCTTACTGCTGGCAAAGGGAAAATGGTGGTGTGCTGCAGTTGTGAAGCTACCAGAAGGACTTCCTCGATAAATTGACTAGAGAATAATTAAATTGACTTTATAAGCTTTTATTGATAGCACTGAAGTTATTTTTCTTTGTATTTTTGTAGTATAATGAGGAAAAAAGAAATAGTATAAAGTGAAATGTAAGCCACGCTCCTTGAAACAGATCTGTCATATACTGAAATCATTCTACCCCTCAGTTAGAGGGGAGCTCAGGAGTAACAAATCCTAATATTTGCTGTAGCTACACGGTGTTCTCTTACAGTTTTCATTTGCTGAAATGAAGTTTTCCCAAGCAAGAAAACTTATGAATAGAATGTGTGTTTTTTCATTGGTTGTTTTGATTGGAAGGGGGGTGTACTATTTATTACCAAATCACCTTGGGAGAGCAAATATTCTAGTGTTGAACACCTGGGTGTTAAGTTTCATGCAGTAGCATTCACCTGTTCATGCAGGTTCAAATAATACAGGGCCTTCGAGCCACAAGGGTCTAACTCATCTGTGGGCTTTCATCTTTATTTTCCAGCTTATTTTCTGTAAGTATTTGGGTCTGACAATCATTTATTGTGCTGTATTATTTTAGGAATTGGAAAAGTATTCTCAAACTCCCTTTATAAAATGGATAATGTAACTGACAGAGATTCTACCAGTAATTAGGACAAAAGTACCCAAAGCCAAAAGGAGATGCAAAGACCTTTTTGAGTCATGTACAGTTTGCAATTAACTGTGAACACGCCTGCCTGTGTGGTGATTGTTCCCATGTGCAGGTCTCTGGTGTACGTGGTCATTTCTGGCTCAGTCCTTGTATAACAACAGCCAAGTATAGAGTCATCCCAGACTTCAGTGTTGCCCTAAAATGGTGAGAGGAGTTGTAATGAAGGTTGGTTTTGGCTAAGGTGCAGGAAGAGACAATTGAAATGCAAACAACTGCAAAAGCTTGAGCAGCCTTAAAATACAGTTTTCTGAGGGACCAAGCACCACCTGTAAAAGAGATGGAAGGTATTGTTGAGGCAGCTTGAGCTGAGCAAGTGGTTCATTATCCTATGTATGCTGAACTTTGGTTTTTTTTCAGGGATATGGTAGCATTAGGAGAATACATCTTCTAAAGTCTCGAAAATCATGTTCTTGTAGCAGTGGCTGTAAGTTTCCTGTTTGGTGGTTTGGGGCTTTTTCCCTCAAAGCTTTTCAGCTGTAATTTTTGGCAGTGAATTTTGATGATAACCAAAATCATCATGATGAGTTTTGTCTTTGAACAAAGATTAACTTTGTCTTTTCTACCAAAATAGTTTTTCTGTTTTGTTTACATTTTCTCGCAAGAAAGAGTAAGTGGGAGAAGTGCAGCAGTCTAAAACTGTAATTTTGATCTACAGTATTGTTGGATAACAGTTGAGACTTCACCTGGAGTATTGTGTGCAGTTCTGGTGTCCTCAACATAAAAAGGACATGGAACTGTTGGAACAAGGCCAGAGTAGGGCCATGAGGATGATCAGGGGACTGGAGCACCTCCTCTGTGAAGATAGGCTGAGAAAGCTGGGGCTGTTCAACCTGGAGAAGAGAAGGCTGAGTGGAGACCTCATAGCAGCCTTCCAGTATCTGAAGGGGGCCTATAGGGATGGTGGGGAGAGGGACTCTTCATTAGGGACTGTAGTGACAGGACAAGGGGTAATGGGTTAAAACTTAAACAGGGGAAGTTTAGATTGGATATAAGGAGGAAATTCTTTCCTGTAAGGGTGGTGAGGCACTGGAATGGGTTGCCCAGGGAGGTTGTGAATGCTCCATCCCTGGCAGTGTTCAAGACCAGGTTAGATGAAGCCTTGGGTGGTATGGTTTAGTGTGAGGTGTCCCTGCCCATGGCAGGGCGGTTGGAACTAGATGGTGTTAAGGTCCTTTCCAACCCTAACTATTCTATGATTCTATGATAAGGTAGGTTCTGACTTCCTTCAAAAGAGAAGCAAATACCTGATCCTTTCTCCTCCCCTTAGAATAGACCTCTGCAGTTTCCTGGGACATAAGAAGGTTATGAGTCCTGAAAAGTATTTTCATGAGGAGCAGAAGTTAACTTTTGCTGATGGAATGGCTTTGCTGACAGGACAAGAGAGACCAGTTTTATCATCTGTAAAAAAAGATGACCTAGAGGAGGTGTTGACCACATACTGGATAAACATGACATCCAATTCTTGTTTCAATAGAATTATGTAACACTTAAGATCTTGTAAAACAAGCAGACAAACACAAATGTCCTAGTGAGCAAATGGATCACAACCCACAGCAGTCAAGAAGCTGTGAATGTCATTACAACATAAGGCAGTGTAGTTTCCCTTTGCCAAACATAGTAATCCTCACAGTACAAACAATCAATAGAAAATGAATGTTTTATGGAGAATCCTGGAGATTGTTTTTATGGCTCTTACTGCTTCCTTTTCTGTGTGGTTTCTCAAACACAGTTCTCTTAACAGTCCTTTTTCTCAGAGGACTGGTTGCTTAGGTACCTGTCAAAAAAAGCCCTATAACTCTAATGTTTATGTGCTATAGTACTGATCAACACATTTTAAAAGACTACTGTTTCCACTGCAAGTTGAAAAAGAACTTGAAAGACTTTCAGCTAAGTATGCTCTGTAAGTCCATGTATTTTCATGGCTTCTGGTAGATTTCTGAGAAAGCACAGCACTCAAACTGACAAAACTCTTGCCAACACAGGCATTTACAAAATTATTAAGGTGAAGAGAATGCAAGGAAAGAGGGAGAAATTATACCTGCAATGCTACTCCCTCTCAGTTTGTTAACAATAATATTTTGGGAGCCTAAATACTACTGCTGTAGTAAGAAAGTCTTTTCCTATTCCTGTGGTAGGTAACAAGGACAGGTTATTTCTCTGGGCCTTGCTCTGGCAGGGCTTTGGTCTAACCCATATTAAGGATAAGATGTGCTATTAAGAAAAATAGTAAGATTCATTTATCTTCCGTTACGATTTTTACTCACCTTGGGGGAAAAAATAAGAGCAAGGACAAGGATCTTTGAATCAAGTAACAGCATTGCTTAAATGTAACACAGAGAAGTCTGTTGCTGTATCATTGTGTCTAGAAAACAAGATAAAAATAAAAGCTGAAGAGTTATTTCAGTTATAGCTAAGAAACTTTCCAGAGTTCAAGCATTATCTCTCTGCTTGAGAAACATTATCAGAGCAAACAGTATAATTCCGCATCAGTATCTTAAGAAAATTTAGACCTAAGCAAAAAGTTGAGCCAGTTGCCAGTTCCATAGCTCATCTATAGATATCAGTGGAAAAGCATATACAACTACAGCATGTGTTTGCCTAATGAAACATTAGAATTTCATGATCCCAGCGAACAGCATAAAAGAATAAGCTGAAGAGCCAAATAAGGGTCAGGAATATATCAGTCCTGGCACTGTTTGCAAGAGATAAAAAGAAGCCGCCCGTATTGCATTTATCAAGTGTGAATTCCTAAATTGCTGCAACCCAGTGTCAGGAAGCCCTGCTAGGCATCTAGAGACGCTTCAGCATCCTGCTGTGCTGGCCTGACATCTCATATGTGTCAAGAGCACTTATTTTTAGATGGGACAGTCATTAGGGACATAACATACCTTAACTACTGTAAAGAAAGTAGTTCAGGGACAGCAGAAGTGAATAGGGAGAAGCTCAGTATAGAAGCACTGAAGTTCTGTTTCAAACCTTAATCCACAGTATAGACTTGCCCTGGTTTTTGAGTGATTTTTTTTTGGCAGCAGCAGCGATGTCCTGTTGGGCAATGCTGTGTTTTCTAAAATGAGACATACCATGTTTTGCATGCTGAGTCAGAGAGGGGAGAAAGCACCTCACCAGTAATCCTTCTGTGCTGAGGGCAGGTGCAAGAGCACTGAAACAAGACTCACTGGGAAGAAGAAAAGTCCAGCTGCAGAATTGTCTTGCTGCCTGTCACTGATCACCTCTAGAAACATCATCAAAGCTAAATAAGTAACTCCTGTATTGTTATGTCTGTAAACATTACCTTTGAATAGAACTTATGTGTATCCAAACATTGCCTCTGGATGGCTCTGAATTTAAAGCCTAATAATGACTAAAGAAGAGAAAATGGGTTTGCTCATCAAGCAAGATATGCTTAGAACTACTATTCTTTGACTGATAGAAATCGTTATTGAAACCGAGGTCTCTACTAGCAGTTTTGTACTTTCATACAGATACTAGAGGAGAACAGTACATACCCACCTTCTAGGAAATGGTTAGTTCTTATTTTGCAGACTGGCTTTTACTGGTACCCTACTGTGTGTTCTGGATTTTCTCAACTCTGCCACTGTGTAGTAGCAGAAAATCATGTGGAGTGGAAGGCCAGAACGCATGGCCTCCTGGTCAGTTCTATTTATAATAACATTGTATCTAAAATGTTGTCATTAATGTGATTTACATAAATCTTGAGATAAACTAGGGATTTTCAGAACAGAAAACAAGTTAGGGAATTAAGAAACTTTTGTGGGGTGTTTTAGGAAATAGTGTGATTGTAGAGTTCATGACAATTTTCCCAAAGCAGTGCTTTTCCACAAATGTTAGTTAAGTGTTGCACTTAGGTATCATAGTTAAAAATAATAAACAAAGCTGTTCAAGCACTTGGTTTAATAATGCAGTTTTTCCTTACATAAATCATACATTATTAGAAAGTCAAATAATAAAACAGGAAGTAAAAGGTACAGTATTTCAAATTAAAAAATAAAATCGGAGACCCACACCAAAAAAGCCCAAAGTATTTCAGTGTTTAAAAATTATGATTTTTTTT